CATCTAGTAAATAAAAGAGGTTGAAATGGAGGCGATTGGTATCGATTTTTTCTAGGTTGACATACAGTCCACTATCTTTGTACCAGTTCCCTGCTACGTATAGGGCTTTTTGGAGCAGATTACCTAAAATTTGTAAGTGTTTACCTGTTGTTGTTAGGGCAATGTCATCAGCGTATGTATCAGTAATCTCGATTTCACAATGACCTAATTTTTTCCACCCGGAACTAGTTTACTTTATTCGCTGAGGCTCGTTTTGTGCATGTACGTAATTTATTTATTGTTATGCTTTATTTATTTATTTATTTATCTATCTATATAGTTTTTCTATTTGTATTTTACAGTAGTCATTCAGTGATTGGAAGTAATTGTGTGTCAGTGAATAAAACGTTTATTTGCACAACAAACCATTTACGCGCGCACTCAAGAGAATTCATATAATATTATACGATTCGATTTTGTTAAAAGCGCCTGTATAGACATACATATACGTACATAATCACACATACATAGACAAGCAGACACTTTTTGTCCCAACTGCAAATTTTTAAGGAAATATGTTTGTGCATACATATATTTATTAACTCAAAATAATAGTAATAATTGTCCTTACTTATTAGCCTGTGGAGCGGTGTTTTCTTAGATTCCGTTTATCGCGACGCACAAAGTGTCTTAATGATATGCATTCATGGATTTTTTTCCTCGTCTTATCGAAGAAGTGTGTATTGGATTTGTATGTATATATGTATGTGCTTGTATGAATATAAAAGCTACAATTTAATATAAAATTGACTAAGTTATTCAACCTTAACCCTCCTTCTGCTGGCATATGTATGTAAGCGTATGAGCGCAAATATGAATGAAAGGCGCATAGTTCGAAGGGATATCATCAACAGGACCAAATATGAATGAAATTATACATGCATGAATACATACATAGTTATGTATGCGCAGTGATTACCTTATCAAAAACTCAGTATTAGATTCAACCAAGTTTAAAGTTCCTTTGGTATGTACACAAAAATAAAACAAGCATACATATTTGTAGTTTTTGTACTGAGGCTGAAGTGTTTCTAAATAAAATAAATAATTTTTTTTTTAAATGGCATTTAAAGGATTGTAAAAAGATTTATGTACTAGGTGTAGTAAAAGGAAATCCATAATTTTTGCATAAATTGAATGCTTTAACTTTTTTCTTTTAGTATCCAGCCTTATTCAAATGGATCCAAACGGTTTTTTGTTCCTTTCTTATCACTTCGGCAATCGAAATAGTGCTTACATGACGGTCGAACTCGGCAATGTCCATGATTTTATAAGCATTTTCGACAATTGGCCTTCCACTCCGGTAACAGTATCAGGACCACTAAATCGGTCACATTTTCAGCCGCCTGGCTGGCGTTTTCGAGATTATCGAAGAAAACCTGTAAAATATAGTGTATTTTCTCTTTGCTGGTGTCCATCTTTGACACACGCTCAAATAAAACTAAAAGAAACCGATCGGATTTATACAAAGCGAGATACAGATAAATAACGCTATCTTTTGGAAAAATAATGGATTTATTTTTAAGGGGTTACATAGATCTTGAAACTTCTAAAAATACATTTTTTTAATAATTTTTTATAAAAAATTACAAAGTGTCAGGAACATTTTCCACAAGTTTCAAGTCGATCGAGGTGAAATTATATAAATTAGATAGTTTGATAATCCGCCGTCTTTGTCATGGCTTAACCGATGGCGAAACTTTAAAAGCGTTTTTCTTAAAACCACTTTATCAAAATCGGTAGGCAAAATTTCCCAACGGCTATTGAAGCGATGGAGTTCATATTTACAACATTTCTTTTAAGCATGTCTTTGTAGTCCCTGTACCAAGGACGTATTATATTTGATTTCAACTCATTTTACAAGCCAATATGTGGCCGAATTTTATGCCAAAAATTACGTTTATTGTAAAAAAAGGCTATAAAAAATTGAATTTTTATTTTATTTTTTTTTTAATTTTTTGTTGTCCGGGGATAAGTAAAATTCACCTTCCTTAAGAAAAAATTAGGATTTTTGATTTCAGATAAAAATTGAGAAAGTTATCATGACTACCGCGAAAGTACTTTCATGTGGACGGTCTACTACACCGCCAACGCCTTAATTTATACTATTTTTCATTCAAATTTTCATCAAATGTTGTCCACATATTGTACTTTTATATGTAAGCAAAATAATTTGTATACTTTATTTAGTATCTTTAAAAAAAAATTAGAGAAACTAAGCTTTTTTTGGTCCTCAAGACCTATGTAAGCCCTTAATACACCTAATATTTGAGATCATGCTTCATGTTGCTTTCGAAATAATGGGCGTGACTAAACTTAAACTCTGCCTTAAGAAGAATATCTCATTGACGCTCAATGAGAACCCGGCAAAATTTGCCAAGTCTCAATTCCACGCTTTTGGATTAACACCATCAGTGGCAATTAAACATAGATAGCAACTTAAATTTTAATGTGTTTTTATTTGAATGGATTCGAAATTAGTATAAAACGATATGGTAGTATATGATTAGTTTTCCGACCCAAGAAAAAACAACAAAGTCGGTTTGCCTTTTAATTTTATTCTAGCCTTCAACCGTTTCCCTTTTCACAGACGTTCTGACTAATTATAGCAAGAATTCTACGTTGACCGAGGTTTTATTGTCTAATAGAACGATCAGTCAAACAAACAACTCTGCCTGAACGGAAACAACTAAGTCGTTTAATCTCTACGAAACAAGCGTACTCAATTATAAAAACGATTTTTTTTAGATCCATTTTTAATGTGAACAAAAAATAAAAATCCATTAAATTTCAATTAAATCAAAACATAAATAAGTTCTTTCCTATAAATTGAGCTTTTGTACACCTCCCGGAAGAAAAAGTAATCCCCATTATTTTAGGCAAAATTCTACCTACGTACTAAATTTCAAGTAAATCGAAAAAAAAATTATATTTTTTAGAATAGATCGGTCCCAGATTCACTTCGCAGGAGATAATGCAGTGTTCGTGTTAAACTAAGCGTAAAGCTCCTCACATACCAAATTTAAAGAAACACAAATCAGAAGTCTGATTAATTTTTTCGCTCCTGGAAAAATTGTATTTGTTTTATTTTGTTGACTAAAGTAATAAAGAATCTGAGTAATCTCACGGAGAAGATATTATAGCAAGCTTTTGACTAAGTCTCCCCTCCCTCCGAAGGTTTGCAGTAGCCGGGTTGTTGGCATTAATTTAATTTTAATTACGGTCACACCTCGACAGGTAACGTCAACTCATCCGAGCGCATTTCTGATATTAAATTAAGAATGCTCTTCATGGAAATTTATTCGCCGCTCGAAAGCGACTTAGAATAAACTTTGGGTTCTTTTTTTGAAAAAACATTGAAAAGCTTAAAAAAATCGGCCGAAAATTACTTTGGCGGTTGTAAAGCGCCAATACTCTATCTTCCTTTCGAGTTCTAGGGAACTGCTAGTTACTCTCTTTATATGCACACATAAAGGGTGCTTATTTTTTAGCCAAGAGGTTTTCAAGAAGAAATAAAACTCATCTAATTGAAAGTTTTGGCCAAGAATTTGGCTTTATTATAAAGATAAGAATCTTACATTATGTTTTAAAAATCCGCCCATTTTCCGGCCTCTTTTGCAGCAATTGGGGTTGTATGTCAGCAACAACGCGCGAAATAATCTCTTCCAAGGCGTTAATTGTCTCGGGCTTATATGCGTAGATAGACGACTTCATATATTATAGCTCCACAAAAAATAGTGATGCTGAACGACTCACGATGCGAGAAGTTTTCTTCAATGATTTGTTTGTTTCACTGGCGGTTTGTCACGTAGCGTCGTCTTGCTGGAACCAAAGGTCGTCCACATCAACATTCTCCAATCCAGATACAAAAAAGTTATTAATCGTGGCTCTATAGCCTTTTCCCAATGGGTCAATGAATATAAATCAAGTAACAGCTGTTAAAAGGACCAACTTCGAAAAAAGTATTGTCTCATTGAAATCTGCAAGTCTAAAAAAGGCCCTTATATACATAATTGTTGCTTTGGAACTGCTATAATTCTTGCGTAAGTCGTGATTTTTCTCTGTCAAATGGAGGATCTATAGTTTATACCAAGCTGCCTCCGAAGGGCTGCTATCAAAAATACACACGGAGGAGCTTGACACCTCGGCAGGGAGAGTTAATTTTTTATTTAAATTATATTTTTAGCCATTAGTCTTAGCAGGTCTCGAACCCTGACCTTTCAAATAGTAATACGCAATGCTACCACTCAGCTATCCCGGCCACCAGTGTCACAACAATACCTCATTTTAATTTTGCTCTTATTATGTATTAATGCAATTAGCTGTTAATTTGATTTGAATTGAATCTAAAATGGATGCAACTGTCACTTTTTAGAGATATGTATGTATGTATTCTTTAGCCCACATTGCGCATGCTCCAATGTCAATAGAATTTGCCAAACTTTTGCTCTCTTCCTTGACACGCTCTCCCAATCAGTTGTTGTAAACAAAACACCAATAATGTCTGCACTAACACAGTTAATTTGCTTTGACATTACTCGTGCTCCCTTAAAAGTGACAGTTAAAATTCCCAAACCAACCCCTAACAACACCCGGTCATCGTGTGATGTACACTTGCTACACAGGGGGTGGCGGGTGTTGGTCTGCTTGTGTTGTAAACAAAAACAGCAACGCAAAAACCAATAACAAAGAACAGAACGAGTCAGCATAAATGCGGATATCACCCACCACCACAAGCCAACGATTGATGTATTTCGCCATAACTCGAGCTTAACGGTTTGACAGTTAAATTTCCCTTTTTTTACTGCTCTGCTCCACAGAGCTTCTGAGTACACCAGCAGTGCGTATGACGACCACCCGCGGTCGCCGCCGCCGTTGTCTGTGTAACACACCAAAGTCACTTTCAAGGCGCTCACCGTCTCTGCCATGGACATTTTCTGCGACCCAACGACCCAAACGAAGTACTCGCAGTGAAGCCAAATCAGCCGAGCGTCAAACCAACAAAAGCGAAAAGGAAATTATCGATCGAAGAGTGAAAAAGTCATTCGACGCCTGATTTGCTTTGGCAAAGAGGGCATACAAAACGTTTTATTTTTCGCAAAGTTTTTGCGTAAACCCTACAATTATTCTAAAATATAAATGTTCAAAAGTATAGCCAATCGAAAGTACAACGATTAGTGAGTGTACTGCAAAAGCTGGTGTGTTGTATTCGTGCGTTTTTGAAGTGTAAAATATTTGGTTATTGAAGTGCTTCTCACTCGAGAGACACGCACACACACCAGCCTCAAAAACTTCATTGAATTCATAATCAGAACCAGTGTCGCGAAACAACATGGCTGACAGCGAATTCGAGGAGTTCCACAGGCCCATCTTTGAGCCACATCAGATCCAGACGTATATGACCAGTGGCCAAAAGAAGAATAATGCTCATACATTCTATTCGTAAGTCCATAGTTGGGCCAATAAGAAACTAAACAATGAATTATGTGTACAATTGTTATGTGCATTCCAGTGTGCGTGTGTGTGTGTGTGTATTCGTGTGAAAAGATGGCATGCATGCCCAAAGTATCAGCAGTTGTGAGAATCAGGACATAGCGAGGCACTTGAAAACTCCACATAAGTGCAGTGTTTAAATAGCACGTCTCATCAGCCCGCAGGCCTAGTGCATATGCATGTGTGTGTATGTTTGTATGTGTACGAATGTGTGCAAGTGTTTTGACATATTTAATGCTAACCACTTCTTATATCGGTGTGTGGTTGTGTCAATGCGTGCTGTACTCGTATGAGTGTCTTCCGTATGTGAAAAATCAATTTTACTGCATAATATTTCAAGCGAGACTCTATAAATCACCGGCATTCCCTTTATCCACTTTCTGTCTCACATACATTTTTATTGATTTCATATCCAAACGCCTGCAGACTCATACCCAATGACGATCTGGAGGACTCACCATCTTCGAAAAGTGATGCATCCGATCAAGAAGATGCCGGGGGTGGAGAACTTTGCTGTGAATCAACGAAGATACAACGTCAAGTGGAAGATGATGAGATTGGCGATGGTCTCAAAGTGGTCTCACTCTCATCCGATGGCTCGTTGGACACCAATGACTCTTTCAATTCACATCGCCATCATCCGTTGAACCATCAGGATGCTATTGGTGGTCTGGTGGGTATTGGTGCTAGTGCAGGCAGTGGACATACAAACGGCACTGATTCTCTTGGTGTGGGCTCGCAATTGCTGCTTTCTCCAAATACAGCTGCTGCAATTGGTGCTAGTCAACAGCAACAACAACGACGTAGACGAAAATTACCGGAAATACCGAAAAATAAGAAATGTAAGTTGGTAACGGAAGGAGTGTGTAACAACATATGTACATAGATTGATCATGAATGCTTTGACGTTATATTGTTTTGTAAATATGTTGCCGTTATGTAGTGGTTTTAGTGTTTAAATGGAGTTTCTAGAAGAGACATGTAACACATAACACAACAGAAATTTATTGTCCTACTGATGTGAGCCGAGTTTAGCACCTCAGTGTTTGTTTTTTTTTTTTGTTCAAAGTTCCATATGCCAGTTATATGCCACACCCTTGACGTGGAACATAAAAATAATATATTATCTATTTCTAAGGGATTTAAGGCTACCTTTTACGAGCCTCGATATTTCTTATTAATAGAATTATAGCCGAATCCTTGCTTACCCGTAATTGGAAACACGAAGTGAAAGCACATCACTCTATACCTGTTCATTTCAAAGGAGTTTTACTCTTCCTTCGCTTCCATCAACGCATGCTGCACCGAAAACTTTCAAAGCTAGGATGTTTCATCCGCCCGGATCACATTAACTAGCCACTGTAGTGTAAAATAAAAAAAATAAACTAAATTTTCTGATTGCGGTGGCCGCCCAGCAGGAAATGGCAGCAGGAAATGGAGTGTATTTCATACATAAAATAAAGTTTCTCATAAAAAAGCCATCAGCCGTTCGAAGGCAGCTTAGCACAAACTGTAGGTGCCTCCATTTGTTGGAAAAACATTAAGACGCAAAACTACAAATTCGGAAGAGGAGCTCAGCCGAGAATCGCTTGAGACGTTACAAAGCGTCAATTAATAATACCGTATAACTCGGCTTATCAGCGTTTCATCATCTGCTGTTTGGTCTTCATTCGTGGAGTAATGACTTTCCTTTTCCATTTCTTACATATTCCAAAGCAGCAAAAGTGCTTCTGCGTTCCGGAACCCACATTATTATGGGTGTTACTTTGTTTCCTAAATAGACGATATTTTTCTCGATTTCAAAGTTATGACGGTCAACATCAGCGTCTGAGTCAAGTCGCACATATGCGGACTGATTATTTGATAATGGGAAATACTTCGTCTGGTTCTCATTGACTACCAGACTCACTCGATTTGTTTTGTTTTCCTAATAGAAATCAGATTTCACAGAAATCGATATCGCTGGGTTATGCCAGCAGAAGTACGCTCTAATGAGAAGATCGTGTTTTTATCTGTAAAGTTATGCTGTTTGAAAACTACTTTTGTAGCGAACAGTTCGAGGAGGTTCTTCTCAATACTGGCCAGTTTACATAGCTGTATAAGTTTTACAATAATACCAAATTCAGACCTAGCAAGGTCGAGCCAGTTACTCTGCATGCAATCGAAGGCAGTCGTTCATTTCGCCAAGATTGGACTCTTGGTGAATATTGGGTATACAAGGCCTGAAGTTATACTGATAAATTTTGTTCAATTTGTTGAATGTTGGACTTCATTATCACACATTACGCTTGAAAAGGTTAAAGAAGAAAGGACGATATTAAGGAAGCTCGCCACACGATATTTAGTTCAACTTCTTATGCACAGAGCATACTACAGTTCAAGCTGACTTACCATTAGTTAAATTGGAAAATCCCTAGAGAAGACGTATGGGCCGGCAGTATTGACTCTTCAGACAAAAGTATTGAAATCTATACGGTTACACAAAACCTTGGAACAAAGTGGGTAGAGTGTTTTCTTCGGATTCTATTCATAGAACCCTCTGCTAGGCTACCACAGTGCTGTAGTGTCACTTCAAAAATCTGCTCACGCTCAGCTCTGGTCTAATTACTTATACGTATATACTAGTATGTATATATGTAGGTAAATAAGTTTTCATAACTTCTTCCTGTTGGAAATCTGAATTTCTTTTCTTCAAAAAAAATAGTAAGCTTTTAAGATAATATAAGAGGGAACTAAAAAGGACATGTTTCGGCCCAGTTCAGAGATATTTTTATTTTAGTTTTTCATAGCAACACACATCAGCCACATAACTACATTTAATATATTATATCTGTAAATATACGCATAATTTTTTGTTGCTTCGTTCATTTGTCATCTTTTCGTTGTTAATTTTTTATTATTTTGCTGTAAAAATTTGCATCGAATATCATTTGGCACCGATTGGATAATTCCTCTGTTGTAATTTGTAGTGAGTTTTTTAATGTGCTCCCCAAACGCATTCGTTGCAGCTTCCATTCTACATCTTTTAGGTGGTGGATATGGTCAAATAACATTGGCCGATGAGATGAACAATGGGCGCAATCAATTGAATGACAACAATAATGCCAATCTTATCACCGGCAATACAATTATTGGCACGAATACTACGAACAGTTTGAGTGGTGGCGGTGCGGTACGAAATAATCAACGCTCATTTCTAACACTCAAATGTGGTTATCTATTAGATGAGGACTCCAGTCCCGATTCGGAGCGCTTACAGAGTTTGGGCGATGTGGATAGTGGTCATAGTACTGCACATTCACCAAACGATTTCAAAAGTATGTCACCACAAATAACTTCCCCCGTTTCGCAATCACCATTTCCTCAACCCTTCGGTGGTGTGCCCTTCTCTCAACTCGAAATGCTCGAAGCTACACATCGTGGCTTACACAAATTCATACCGCGTCATCATGATGAAATTGAAATTGAAATTGGTGATGCTATTTACGTACAAAAGGAGGCGGATGATCTATGGTGTGAGGGTGTTAATTTACGCACGGGCAGACAGGGTATTTTCCCTTCGGCCTATGCGGTTGACTTGGATTATAATGAGTTCGATCCCACGGTGCAACAGGTGAAGAAAGAGCGTTATTTATTGGGTTATTTGGGTTCGGTAGAGACGTTAGCTCACAAGGGTACGGGTGTTGTGTGCCAAGCTGTGCGTAAAATTGTCGGTGAATATGGTAATTCACCAGCTGGGCAGGTGTGCATACTGGAAGTGTCGGATCAGGGTTTGCGCATGGTAGATCGTTCGGGACCAAATGTAAGTAGCCGACGTGTGGCGAGTTGATTTTATTTGAAAAGAAAGTTTTTTTTTAATATGTTTCCGCCGTTTTTAACTCTTTTTCATGTAGAAAAAAGACAAGAAACCCTGCATCGATTACTTCTACTCGCTAAAGAATGTCTCGTTCTGCGCTTTTCATCCACGTGATCATCGCTTCATTGGCTTTATAACGAAACATCCCACGGTACAACGTTTCGCCTGTCATGTCTTCAAAGGTTCAGAATCTACGCGGCCCGTAGCCGAGGCTGTTGGGTGAGTTTAAATATTACTCTCTATATAAAATGTTTATATACATACATATGTATATATTTCAAATTTTTCTCTTTTGCAGTCGTGCATTTCAACGTTTCTATCAGAAATTCATAGAAACCGCATATCCGATTGAAGACATTTACATAGAGTAAGCAATTGGGCAGAGTTTGGACTGGTTCATATATAGGATATGTGCTGTAGTAACTACTGCATAGTATGTAGTAGGTATTGTTAGAGCTGGTTTGTGGTTTACGCTTATTTTTCCCCTTAAAAACATAACATAAAACACGTTAACACAATTAAATGGAAACCAAAAACAAAATGTTGTCTTCAACAATTTCAAAATGTGTACGTAATTATTCAAGTATGTATTCAAGTTCGTGCTTATTTCAAACAAAAAAAAAAAAACAAAAAACCAAAAAAGCAGAAGAATATACGAGTATATGAGAAAATAAGCATAATAAAGTAATTATTAGATTAAAGAAAAATCATTCCAAATTTAATAAAAAAAAAAAAAACAATTATATTATATATGAGTATAATTAGTAATGATTGATTATATTTATTAGCAACTCTGGGCATAAAAAATTGTGAAAAACACTTCACCCGTAACATTGCTCTCATTGGATTTTTCGAATGTCAGCCAAAATGTAGGCAAAAATAAAAATATCATCAAAAACTGGTATATTGTAGAAAATTATATATTTCCAAGAAGAAGACGATAAATATATTTCCAATCCTGCAGTGTTTTTATGATAGAAGAATATAATCTAGCCTATACTCAGGTAGAAAAAACTGTTATCTATGTATTTTTATATAGGCAAGTGCCTAAAAGCAATCAGTTCATAACATTTTTTCCAGTTTTACGCCATGAATTAGCTATCGTTTGTAGGAAAACAAAAAAAAAACATATGTTTTGCTTAAAAAATTCGTCTCATCACCAATATAAAGAAAACCGCGCCTAAAATAAGGTTACAGAATTAATGAAAAGCAACTTTTCTCAAGCCAATGCAAATTTTTTTTAAAAATTAATTATCATTACCGAAATTAACACAATAATTATTTCATTGACGAAAAATAATTAATGTTACAATTTTGTTCTGTTGTTTCTTTATAAAAAAAAGATTTGTTATTAAAAAGTGTTTAAATTTCTTTAGGTTAAAGTTAAATTTTAGTGAATGTTAACGCCATTGAATTTTTCCTCTTATAATCATTACCGTCCTTGCTGACCTTTACATATAGAGTGACCAAATGAGTATGATTATAGAAAGTAAAAACTGTATAAGAAATACTTTTTTCTAAGTATGCATTAATTTAAGTAAAAATTCGTAAACCAAAACCATCAACGGTTAACTAGGGGTGGCATAAAATTTTCAAAAGAAATGAGAAAAGCCCTCTCTTTTAGACTTCTAAAAAATATTTTCATATATAAGAAAAAAGAAAAGAAGCTCAGCTAAATATACAACAAAAGTATTGATGCTTTGTTACTCTAGAGTTGCCGTATTGTTTGCATATAGAAGGTTACCAATGCCGATTTCAGTGCGCGGCAAAAGCAATAGAAATCACTTGAGCTTCACCCAGTTGTACGAATCTTGCTATAATTCAAATTTTTTTATATAAGTTTTGTTATGAATTACTTCTTTATATAACATACATAGTGAATGGTATAGCTCGGAAAATTTTTTGTGATCTGGTCACTCTGTACTTCATTAAAATATCGTATCAATTATTTTACCTTCAGACTTTGCATTTTTTAATTATAAAGAAATAAATTAATTTAAATTAGTCTAAATTTAAATTTATTCATAGCCTATATTAAGGGTAAAGAAGAAGAATGTATATGTATATTATATTAATTAATACTTGTAAGTATTTTGTGCAATGAATTATATGTTCACCATGAGCGAAATTACTTTTAAGCTTCCAAATGCTAAAAATAATGAGTACTATTAATTTATGAGTTTATAAATATTTTAAAACGTTAAAGGAGACAAAATATTTTTTTACAAAAACAAAAAAAAAATAGCGAAATATCTTTTAAACAATCAACCGCTCATTTTCACGTTCTTTCTTACAAAGCAACTAAGAAAAGTTATAAAAATTAAAATTACATTATTTAAGAAATTAAAATACTCCATGGAAATTTCAATTTTTTTTTATTATAATTTTTTATTATCAATTTTTTTATTTTTTGTTTCAAATAACTTTAATTTTCAAAATCACTCGCAAGTGTAAATACTAATTTAGATGATATGAAGCGGTTATATTGCCGAGATATGCCAAGTTAAGCGCTTTAAAAGTGAAATTAAAGTAAAGAAAATGTAAAAAACACTGTAATCATTAACAATAAAAAAAAAATTATAATAATATATTTAAAATTTAGTAAAAAAAAATAAATAAAATATAGAAATGGAATGCAAAGTGGAATTTGTATGGTAAGCATGTTAAAAAGTCTATTTTTTTAAGCAAACTCAAAACTCAATCAACAAAATATTGGTTCTTTTCCTAAAACCCAAATTTATGAGCACTGATATCATACTAGAACTTGACGTGTTTCCAAAACTCACTCTATGATATTAACACCAAACAATAGCAATCGATAATTTAAGAGCAGGAAATTTGTATTGTTACTAAATATTACCAGCATACATGTTGTTTATAAGAGATTTCAAAGAAAAAAATAAAAGAAAAATACATTTAAAGTAAAAAAAAATAGTACGACAACAAGCCAATGACAATTGATTTTTCGTTGCTGAAATTATTTTCTCTTTTTCTCAGTATACACATCAAAGGTTAACGATTTTTTTTTTTAAATACTTAAGAATTTTCAAACATTAATAACCAAATAATTTCGATACTAAAGTACGGCGTGCCCTAATGTACACATCTTAAGCAGTGTACAGTGCATATACATGTGTATGTTAAATGATCATTAACTCCTTTCAAACATTGAAATCGTTAAAAATTAAAATAATAAAAATTTATAACTAATTTTAAAAATTTCCAGAAGTTTTTTACTCTGAACACAAAAACAACCACTAAATATTAAAAGCAACATCAAAAAAACATCAAATGGCACAAACACTTACACATAAACAGGTACTTGGAAAAGCTCATAAATATTGTTGTTGTTGAATGATAACTGAACAAAATAGCTTTTGGAAGATCTAAACTCGACATATTTTTAGTAAGAAATGGTAACATTATATAATTTAAAAAAATATATATATGTGAATACCAGAAATAATTGCATACATATATATTATATATGCATACATTAATACCTACAAACACACACATATAAATCAATATTTCTAAATAAGTAAATAAACGTAAATTTCTTCTGTGAAAAAAAAAAACAATGAAATATATACACACACACATACCTACATATATACACACAAATTCATGCATAAGTATACTGAGGAGCATATTACAGACACACAGTTTCAATAGAAAGAATAATAAATAGAAATCAGTAACATGCATAAGTATTAGAATTATTATTATAATTATAGAAACTACTATATATATTATCTAATAAATACATATAATACAATATACAAAAGCATATATTGTAAAATTAATAAAAATAAAAATGAAAAACAAAATTATATATATAAATAAATGTATATACATACTCGTACATATATGTATATGTATGTATGAACTTACATATGCAATTATAATATTGTTAAAGTGTTTTCTTCTTGAATTACTGGAAGTAATACAAAATCACACCATCCATGAGGGAATCGTAAGTAAAATATTTATTTTATTCCTTCGATTTTTCATGTACAATCAACGAGCTGCACACTTTTGGAAAGACCAATAGATGGATTTTCTGTTGAAAATTTGTTTTTTTAAATTAAAAAAATTTATTTTAAAACACATTACTTTTTAGAAAAACAATTTTAAAATTAAATCTTAAAACGGTTTCTTTTATATATATTTTTTTCAAAACAGTAAATTGTTTGACTACTTTTTTGAAAAAATTTAAAATATACCGAGTTTTCATTAAATGAAAAGCAATGAATAAATATTGAAAAACTTTTTTCCGGAACAACGTTTGCATATCGTGCATTCGGCCGGCATGATCGCCCAGAAGAGTTGTAATTCAAGCCGTTTCGCGGCACGTTTAGTGCTCAGAGTGGCCATACAGTGTGCAATGGAAGGCTGCTCTAGAGCAAAGTATCGGAGAAGACACGAATGTGTCGATCCATAATCGCCAATCCACTTTATGGAAGAATTTTCCGAGCTATGAAGCTCACGTTCGGTGGAATGAGTACGTAATTATCGCATGTGTAGTGTCGATAATCCACAAGTCATTGTTGATACGTCATTACATCCACAAAAAGTCACTGTTTGATGTGCTTTATGTCATTGGTCCATATGTTACAGTGATTGGAACAATGATTAATGACTTTTTCGTGTCTAAATTGGAGGATGTTGATGCGAAGGACCATTGGCTTCAACAAGACGGCACTACGTACCATATAGCTATCGAAATAATTATTTTATTGAAGGAAACTTTTGATGAGCGCATTATCTCGCGCTGTGGGCCTGTGGCTTGGCCACCAAGATCATGCGATTTAACACCGCTGGACTATTTTTTGGGCGACTATATGAAATCTATGCAGATAAGCCCGAGATGATTGACACCTCGGAAAAGAATATTCAGCGCATTGTTGCTGGTATAGGGCCCCAAGCTGCAAAAAGTGGTCGAAAACCACATGCCTAAAACACATATGCTTATCGACAGCTGTTTTAAGTTATTTTCGGGAACTCCACATGTTTAAAACAGTCAATTTTTAACGTTCAAACTCGGAGCCAACTCTGAATAATAATCAGCATTACTTCTGTCTCTCGAGACAGCTCGAACTCTTCGTCGACGACAGATGATGATTGGATTCTGCGAACGCCGTTCGCTGAAAGAGAAGTTCTTGTAATACAGTCGAGTGTTCTCTTCCTGTTCAGGATGTTTACTGCCACTTCCAAACCGGAGCAGCCTAATTTACGACCGTCGGACCAATTCCTTGCATGTTGCAATCAACGTTTCTTTGTCTTTCCCTCAGTTGCTGCCGGCTAAAGCTTGCGGCAATCGCAGTCGTATACGGAGTAAAGGAGTGCAGGCTGTCAAATGTGACTTCCAATTACTTTGGATTATTAGTTTTCGGACTTTATAGCGTTTTCGAATCGTCTAGCTGGGGAAAAAGATAAAGAGGGTGTGCACGGGTTGTAACTGTAGTTGTAGTGAAAAGGTGGGTCGGCGATGAGGTCAGCAAAACGCCCTCGGATGGAGGAAAATTACGGAGAGCCTTAGAGAGCCCATCACAGTCCACCTCGGCGGCAATGAGGAATCCTCTCGCTGGTGACGAATGTTTTAACATCAACCCCACTCTATCGGTGTTATTATGGTGTTTCCCTTTTGTTTTCAATTCAAACACAATTTATTTTATGTTTTAGGCATAATTCATTCTATTTTCTATTTATAATACAAATTAAATCTATGTACATGATTTTTTTCATATTTTCATCGACGTCTTAAAAACTAGTTTATTCTATTTCTCAATTTCCTTTAAACTTAAAACTATGTTAATGTCGCAATATCAGTAACAATTAACCTAATATCAATGCATATAATACATATTTATTTATAAACAGAATTTTTAATGGTGATATTGTATGTATGTATGTATATATATTATGTAAATATAATATAAATTTTTTTGCATAAACAAGTTTATATATTTGTACAAAGATATACGCAGATGTACACTGTTACTAAGCTTACGTACTTATTTTCTTATTGTTAGAAAATATAAAAGGAATTAATTTAAATAATAATTTTCGTTTTTTTGAAAAGTTGTTTTTTTTTATTCTTTTTTTTTAAGATTTATTAATTATATTTGAGAAATCCTTTATACAAATGACATAGAAAATTAGAGCCATTTCAATATTTTGTATTTATGTATATTTAATTTATTTAATTAATTATCTTACGCTTCTTATTAAATCTTACATATATTATTTACTAATGCATATGGTTCAAAAGTACTCAAATGGGTAATTTATGTAAATTTTCAAGTTTTTAGATTTAGAAAAAAAACTTAATTAACTTATTTTCTTATAAACATTATGTAAAATTTTTATTTTTATTATATATATATAGGCGTATTTAAGAGGTTATTCGATTTATCTTAATCTTTAAAGATTTTTAAGTTAGTACATGTTGGACTTGGGCTTAAAAACTTGGGATTGCCTATTTGTAGGCGTTTCAGACAGTCGTTTAAATTAAAAAATGTCTCCTGTACAAATTTGTCATTTTGGTAATTGAGTAAATAAAAATGGCTTATGAAATGATTTTTACTGTTGTGCGCTAAATATAGTAAAAATAGTTATTTCAACATCGAAACAAAATTAAATGAACAAAGAAAATTAAAAAAATTAATAAATCCATAAATTAAATTAAATTAAAATAAATATACAGATAATGAAACAAAATACAATAAAATAAAACAAAACAAGATTAATTTAAATAACTTTAACTTATATAAAATAATTGAAATAAATTAAAATAAATAAAATTAAAAAAAAACTAATGGAATACAATGAAACAAAATAGAAAAATAAATTAAAGTAAAAAGAAATGAATTAAATTAAACTAAAAACAATAAAATTTAACAATTTTATATAAAATAAAATAAAATTAAAATAAAAAATAAATAAAGAAAATACAATGAAACAAGTTAAAATAAAATTAAATGAAATAAAATAAAAAGTAAATATTTTACAATTATTCATAATAAAATAAAAAGATAAATAATCAAAATACAATGATACAGAAACAAAAAATTAAAAAAGATAATTAAAACAAAATTAAATAAAATAATAAATCTAAAATAAAATTTAATAAAACAAATGTAATACAATGCAATTGATTAAATAAAATAAATAATATATAATGAAACAAAATAAATCAAAATAAAAATAAATTAAATAAATATAAATTAAATAAGACAAAACGTAAATCAAAAAATAAATAAACAAATTAAATTGAATAAAATAAAAAATAAATAAATAAAATGCACTTCACCAAAAAAAAAATAAAATAAAGTAAAATAAAAGAATTGATTAAAATTAAATATATTTAATTAAAATGAAATAAAATAATAAATACAAAATTAAATTTAATAAAACAAATGTTTTATAATGAAACCAAATTAACAAAAAAAAAACAAAAAAAAATCAAAATTAAATTAAATTAAATAAGACAAAACGTTAATCAAAAAATAAATAACTCAAATACAATGAAACAAATCAAATTGAATAAAATAAAAAATAAATAAAAAAAATTCACTTCAACAAAATAAAATAAAATAAATAAATTATAAATTAAATATATTTAATTAAAATAAAATGAAAAAAATAATAAATTTAAAATTAAATTTAATAAAACAAATGTAATATAATGAAACCAAATTAAAAAAAAAAAACAAAATAAATAAAAAAAATTGAATTAAATACAATAAAACTGAATTACTTTAAAAAAAATAAAACGAAATTAAATAAATTAAAATAAAATCAAGCAAAATTTTGTAAATGAGCCTGACTAAAAGCAGTCACTCAGACTGAGATTGATTGTTTGTTTTGCTAAATGAAAAAAAGAAGAAGAAAAAGTCCTATAGTTGGCAATATGAGATTCGTGTGGCGTGTTTTTTTTTTTACTTGAATATATTTTACTAACTGTTAACATTTTTTTCTTATATTTTTGTTGTTTTGTATTTTTTCTTTTTACGTATATACCTTCATAAATTGTTTGTTTTAATATTACTTTCCTTTTATTACCTTTTCTAATTTTTCTCTAACACAACTGTTATCTCATTATGCACTTATATTATTTACTTAGCTATTTACATACATACTAGAAATATTGTATTTCCGACATCTTGTAGTTTTACCTAGTGTATATATAATACATATATTGATAATCATCGTGTCGGTATGTTTTTACAAATATTTTACAACTACAATTTATTCAGAAATATTTATAGTAAGAAACTAACATGTAAAGGTGTTTCTTTTCAAGTCTTATTTTGTAAAATTACACCTAATTCCACTACGCTCTTGTTCTTTATTATAATATAACTTTTATATATACATATATATATATATATATATATATATATTTATATAGTACATATGTAATTATTATTATACGTGTACTTACTAGTTTATTCATAATTTTTAATTGACGTTTGTAAGAACTTATAGGCATACTAGTTTTAATACTTACATACATACAAATGAATGTGCTTTTGAGTACATATTTATGTACGAGTATGTGTATGCTTATTTATGTATATTATATCATTGTCCATTTATTACTTATTTCTCGACGCATAGGCTATTCTAGGATTTATTTTATTTTCTTAAATAAATACTCGGTATAATGAGTTCAACTTACCGAAATTATTAACAACAATTTTTTGAGAGAATCAGCGTCGCAAATCCCGAAATGTAGAATTTGAAATAAAGCGCACTTCTGGAAATTTCATATTTTAATTTTTTTTTCAACAACGCGCTCCACCTGTACAAATAATCTAGCCTAATTATAACTTGTAGATTTACTTCAAACAAGTTAAGCTGATCAATCCGACCTGTATGAATACTCACAAATACATACAAGTTGTGGAGGCACATTCCCACGACAAGAAACTAGCTGTTAACCAGATTATTGCTATTTGGTTTGAGTGTTTATACAGGCGTTGTCACACCAAAAGTCAATTATCCGGTTATGCATTAGCGTCCTACTAGTTAAATACTAGTGCATTTTTTTATATTGAATTTCTACTTCGCAGAAATAAAAAAATACACCACAGCGAGATCCTAACGTCGAATCTCAAATATAATAGCGATTAAATCAGTCATCTAGAACACCTTCCCCATAGTACCCGCCGGAAAATTATAGTAAGTATTTGACATACATATTTTTTGATGTATGTACATTCATCAATTGAAAGGGTTTATTAATTTTGGAATATGTTTATTCTTAATATTTTAATTGCTTGTTTTACTTAAACATTATTTTATTTAGTTTCAGTTAATCAATTAATTAGTTTTAATATAATAATAATAATAATAATAATAATAATAATAATAATAATAATAATAATAATAATAATAATAATAATAATAAATTTAATATAATAATCATCTTTATCATGTTTCTACATTTTTTTCTTTTTTTGCTTAAAACTAATTTCTGCGTTGCCATTTGCATACTTTAATTTATATTAATTTATAATGTATGTGTATATTGTATATCATATTTATCTTTCTTTCAGTTTACTGCGGATTTTTTGGCATTTTATCATTTAATTCTCAATTGCATTAACATTAATCATTTTTTCTTCACTTACAATTTAATTTTTAATTATACTAATTTTTCATGTAATGTTTATGTGTATGCATGTTTTTTCTTCTTTTCTTTACTTTCGCAAGTTATAAGTATTTAATATATATATATATATAATATATATGTATGTATTTACTATATATATATATAATATTAATTATGATTTTCACTTATAACTCCTAAACAAATATTATTTTAGTAATAGAAAATAGAAATGAACAATATAAACATACTAATGTTGCCACGCTTAATTCATGTCTTACATATCTACAAATCGGGAGGTGTGTACACATCATACAAACATACTCACTGTTGGAACTACATTATTTATTTATTTATTTTATTTTATTGAAATTCCTTTTTTTTGGTTTTTTTTTAATTATTTTAACTTTGATTTACTAATTTCTATGGGATCCTTCCTTTGTTCTAAACTAATACGACGGCGATTTTTTAACAATATTTTTTTTTGTGTTCTTTCTTTTCTAATTTTCGTTTATATTATTTTACAAATAGTTTATATTTTGTTTTGTAAGTGTGTATATGTTAGTAAGTGTGTATGTATGTATGTGTGATGCACGTAGAGATATTACAATTGCGCATTTAATTGTCATTTTATTTAAAAATCTTAAGAGCTTTTGGGAGCGCTATAGGTGCCCAAAGTACATATTTACATGATGTTTAAAACCTTTTATTCAAAAAAAAAAATGTATGTTGAAATATGATTGTAGTTGTGGTTGTGCCTATGCAATATACATATATACATATAGGCATACAAAGAAACAAACCCTTGGTGTCTATCGCTCAGTACAATATTTATCACAAAGGAAATATCAAAATTAAATAATAAAATCTTTTTTCTTGAAACTGCATTGGACACTGCACATAAATTTAAGCCGCCTCAGTCAAACAAGAAATTTATTTCTTCAGTCTAATCCAAATTTTCATTGCGACTTAGGAATTTTTCTCCCAAAATAAAAATACTAAAAGAATAATTATAAATAAAAATCAAAATGTACAATCGAGAAAGGCAATTTTTTGTTCATAGAAAATTTCAAATATGTAAAAGATAAAAAAAAAAAAAAATTAAACGAAACATTTTGTAAATAAACCACCTATACTTAACTATCAGCGAGTAAAATCATTATATAACTTAATGCTGGACTTTGAATTAAATTATTTAATATAACAAAATATAAACATAATATACAGGGTTCATTGTATGATGCTTTTCTCTTGAAATAACACTCTATGGAACATTTCAATGTAAAGAAAAATAACGCCCATCACATTATAGAGCATTTTAGTAATTGTGTTTCAATAAATATTTATAAACATAATTTCTCTAATAAAATAATTCAACCTAAAATATACATAATGAATATTCTTTAGACGCATATAAATATAGTACAACATTCTCTGTAGTTCAATGAGAAATTTATTTTTAGAGCATTTACATACTGCGAAGTCAACAAAATTTTTCGTTACTTCAGTACTGATTTCGTTATTTACTTTAAAATGGCTAGAGGAGTGTAGTAGTGTGTGTCCCAATCAAAGTTAAAAAAAATGTTCACATTCAAATGCATTCTTAAATATGCAAAATAAATAAAATAAAACCATCTATAGGTAAGTGTGGGTGTGTAGGTGTATTTGAACAGTTGATAAAATTTTGACGCATTAAACGCTTTTTTTTTATCCTTTTTAAAAACATATTAAAATTCCAATCATTTTTTGAAACTAGTAGGTTTGCTCCGCCGCTTTATACGTATGAGTGTGTAAATGTATTCAAGCTGAACTTGTCATGAAGCCATCTTTATTCCTTTGCACATGCGCCCGCTGCTTTCGCTTCGATTATTAAATAATTTCACACGAACACAAGCATAAATATGTATGTATATGTATATGTGTAGGTATGTATATACATATGTATAACTAATTTGCGTCATTAAAACCGCGGTGGATGGTTCAGCGGGGACCAATTTCCTGATTATCATCTGACTTCGCAGTCTTTGTTTAATGGAAGTAAACCATTATTGCTGTTATTGTTATTGTTGTTATTATTGTTGTTGTGACTATTACTGTTGCTATTATTATTATTGTTGCTATTGTTATTTATCGTATTTTGGCTACTATTTAGTGTGCCACCACTTAAGCTACTGCCGCTCGCACTGGCACCACTACTACTACTACTGGCACTATGACTATGGCTGTTGCTATTACTATTGCCACTGCTGTGCTCAGTACAGTTAACTGTGAGTGGTGCTATAGGTGCAAAGGTGTTGCTCATCGTACCGGCCTCGCCTCCAATGCCTGTGCTCACCGACATAGCTTCGGCGAGTGAGCTCGCCGTATTGGAATCGTGCACATCGACACCTTTACAAGTGTCGATTACCAAACGAGGCGACGGCGTGCTCGCCTCCTTCGGCGTCGACGCAAGCGGATCGGTTTCTTCGCGATGACTAATCCCACCGCCGACATGTACTGCACCAAAATTGTTTAGCACATCGACCACATTTGGCGTTGTGCGCTCACCGCTAATATTACAATTGTAATTTGCCGAGTCGTCGCCCGTCAAGTCGCTAATGGTTTTCGTGGTAGGTGTAGTGTGGGCCGAGGAAATTGTGTTGGTCGCAAGCGGCGTTATATTAGCGGTGTTGCCACCGGGCGTTGAGGCAGGTGTGGTGGTTGGTGTCGAAGTGGAGGTTGGCGTACGTTTTGATTTTTTCTTCTTGTTGCCAATGACATAGCCACCACCATCCGAGGCCCTGGCCAACTTTAAACGTATTGGTGCTGCGACCATTGGCGGCGTAGCAGCGGTTTCGGCGGAGGTAGATCGTTCTGCAAGGTCCGGCACATCGGCTTTTCGTTTACCTATGCGTATAATCAGTTTTGGCGGTTCTCCTGGTGATGCACTTGCCATATTTTCAACTACGGTCGCTGCCATGCTCATATCTCCTGAAGCTGGCGAGCTTTGTTTCTCCTTATTACGCCGTTTTTCCTTTTTGTCTTTTTTCGGTTTGGAAGACTTTTGTTTTTTAGTAGATGGCAGCACAGAGGTGTCCAGTGCGCTACTACTACCACCACGTCGTGTACGCTCCTCATCATCTTCGCCGAAATCTTGCATAACCATTTTACGATAGTTCATCGACTCGCGTCGATAGTCCTCCAGCGTAGGTGGGGTATAATTCGTGGTCAACCTCTTTTTCGGCGGACAGCTAACCATGCGCCGTGACATATCATACTGATAGCTGTTGTCATAGGCGGAATTATCACTAATCGCTGTTGCACTCGCACTACCATCGGCCAGCCCGCGTATCTTAATCTTCAACTTCGGTGTAGGTTCATCTTCAGAACCCTCGAGCGTTTTGCTGCGTCCACGACGTTTGCCGGCACTCGATGCCGCCCCAGTTTTTCCAATACGCTCATCCGTACTGCCCGATGAGCATGCACTTCGTCGCCGCCCATCATTGCCCAACACGGCACCATTATCGTTCAAGTCATTAGCAGCATCCATCGATCGCAATTCGCGGCCTGAATTTTTCTTAGAGCGCTTCGATGTGCCTTGAAGACCCAACTCGCTGCCATATTCATCAAGGGTGCCACCCAAACCTTCACCTTTGCGTAAACTATCGACCGCATTCGTCAAACCAACATCAGTGGACGGCAGTCCACTTGACGAATCATCCATATGTGTATCCTTTTGAACCACATAAAGACTTAGCAATTCCTTCTTACGCATGCGTCGAGAGTTCATGCCACCACTACTACTGTTACCGCCACCACTTACAGATGTGCCACCAACCACACTCGCCGAAATCTGGCTATGAAGGGATACAGATGTTTGCACAATACCCGCAGCTGCCTGTGTAACATTGGCAGTATGCACGCTTATCGAAGTACTTGATGAGTTGTAACTGTAGCTGCCGTCAGGGCAAGCTAGTGGACCCTTAATTTTCAACTTAAGTTGGTTGCGGGAATCGGAAAGTGAGGCTTTTGTAGTGAGCGTCGTGTCCGAATCGATGGATACTTCTTCAGAAGTGGTCTCCATTGATGTCTGCAGATCAGCTGGCATTACTAGATCAGAAATAACGGACGTCGAACATGTATTGGATAGGCCACTGCCAGTGGCGCTAACGTCATTCAACACCGTGCTGGTATTTCCAATCAGACTTGACGCGGGACCACCAACAGCGCCACCAATATTGGTTGCAACTGTGCTATTACCGCTCGTAACGGGTGTTAATTGTTTTGTGGAGATGGTCGATCCGGTCGCTCGCAACGCAGACTGGAATTCCTTTTCGTCCTCCTCATCGAACTCTGGCAAAGTTTGCTCGGCAGCACCGGAATCGAAATCACTCAGCAAACTGTTGTTATAAGTCTCTTGTGAAGCGGATGCTTCGTAAACATTGTAGGTCCGCATATCGACCGGACCTGGCAGCACCGGCTGCACAATGGAATGTAAAAGAGATTGCTGCGTGCTCGAGTGATCCAAACTGCTAGCATTGTTTGATTTGAGTGCGTCTGCCAAATGCGATGTACTGCGGCTACTGCCACCACTGTTATTGCAATTCACCAAACCACTGGCTGTGGCAGAGTTTGTTACGCCGGCGCCAGCACCGCGGACTTTGCAACTGCCATACCCAGATGGGCTGGTATATTTTTGTGTGTCAGACGTCGTTTGTTGATGAGGATGCGACATGGCAGCCTGTTGATTGCAGCGGGCGTCAAATGAACGCCTTCGATCGCGCAGCGATTGCAAGTTCTCAACTCCTGGTGCTGTCAGATCTTCATCGTAGTTGAATTCAAAAGGTGTGCCGACCAAATTGTTCACATAATGAGCATTGCCATCGTGTTGTATCTGGGGCGGCAACGGTATGACGGTGTTGGCTGAGCTACTACCGCGCCCGCGACCCCTACCACGACCACGACCCCGCGAACCTGCGCCGGTGCCACGTGGTGCACGTTGCCGTGGCTTGCCAGCCAGCGTATGCGTTAAGGGGTCATATTTAGGTGGAGGTGGTGGTGGTTTCTGTGGAATGTTTGTGTATTCTGTTAACGCTTGTTGCTGTTGTTGCGGCTGTTGCTGTTGCTGTTGCTGCTGCTGCTGCTGCTGCTGTTGCTGCTGTTGCTGTTGTTGTTGCTGCTGCTGTTGCATTTGCAACTGTTTGCTAAGCATTTCCATTTGACGTGGGGATTTACCTGGCGATTTGTGCTGAATTTGTGGTGACTTGTGCGAGTTGCGAGGAGTTGGTTGCTGTTGTTGATTGTACCGCGTAGAGGAGCGCTTCGACGGCGACTCCTTTGTGGGTGTATTTTGCGGTGTTGGCGGCTGGTGCTGTTGCTGCTGCTGCTGTTGCTGGTTCGTAGGCTGTACCGGCATTATTGCTTCAGCGCAGTTACTCATTATTTGATTGTACAAGCCGGGCGCTGGCCCATTGTCAGATGGCACATTCATACCATATTGTGCAGATTGCGGTTGTTGTTGTGGCACCGCCGATTGTTGCGCATGCATAGCATGCTGATGCTGATGCGGCGAGTGATGGTCGAGCAAAGAGGGACCGCCCGGTGTACCAACAATGGCTGCGGTCAATGCCAGATTGTGGGTTGACGAGGTAAAAGCAGCGCCACCATATTGATTTTGTGGCGCAGCACCAGCCATGGCGGCATTGGCAACTGCAGAGTTGGGATCACTGCTACGCATCCCATACATGCCAACGTCATTGGACGCCTGTTGCTGTTGCTGTGCGGTAGTCGTTGTCATGCCAACATTACCACTCATACTTGTGGCTGCGGGATACATTGTGCCAACGGAGGAATTGGGTGCGAACGGCATTTGATTCATAACCGGCATGTTCGATGTGGTATTGTGGAATAGGCTAACCGAGCCACCGTTATATTGGTTGTTGCCTCGATTGGGTGTAGTCTGCTGCTGCTGTTGCTGTTGTTGTTGTTGCGGCGTATGGGTTGGCGTTGTTTGCTGTTGATTGTAGCTCTGATTGTAGTTCATTATCGAATCGATACCGTTGACCAATGGAGATTGCTGTTGCGGTGTCTGTTGTTGGGTGTGGGTGAAGGGTATGTCGTAGGCGTCGACTCGATTAAAGTAGCCTTTATTGCAGTTCTGTGCTACCGTGGGCTGTTGCAGATTCGCGCTCTGAGCGCTCAGCACATTATTGCCCAAATCCTTGGACTGGAGATGTGGTGGCGGTTGCTGCTGCTGCTGCTGTTGCTGCATCGTATGTTGGAGGTGTTGTTGCTGCAACTGTTGATGCTGTTGTTGCTGCTGCATTTCCATTGCGCTCGTTTGATCATTAGATTCCGACACTGAGCTCGGCGATGACGAGCGCCTTGCCGCAATCATTTCATTCTCATTCCATAGACGAGTGGCACGTAATGCGTACGGTGATTGCATGCGTGTATTCTCATCAAAGTCACAATCAACAACCATCTTATTATTGCTACCCACAACGCGACTGGTGCCAGAAAAGTTAATATTATCCTTGGCAGCTGCGGCAGCATGCAAATCCACGAAGTCGGGAGCTCCAGGCACTGCACCAACATTTCCGGCTGTGGAGCTTGGAATTTTGTTGAAACAACTTACAGAGCCACCTTTGTTATTCGCTTTGTTTGCGAGCTCCTTTTCGAGGAAAGATGTTATTTCCGCCACATCCGGTGGTTGCGGCGGCCCTTGCTGCGTTTGACCATAACTACCTGGGCCTTGTTGATGCTGTGGCTGCTGTTGTTGTTGTCGTCGTTGTTGTTGTTGTAACGGTGATATTGGCACATTGCATAAGTCAGCAGCAACATTTTTCTCCATAAAGCCCACAACCGGCTCGGGGAAGGCCAGTGCCCCGAGGTTATTATTACTGTTGTTGCTATTGGGCAAACTACTGTTGGCGACAACATTTATTCCACCCATGGAAGCACTCGAATTCGGTGTGGCATTTGGTGTTGTGGCACCAGAATGTGGGGTACGGTTGTAAGCATTGGATGTTGGCGTTAAAGTCACAGGCGAAACGCCCATCGAAGTGCCGTCTTTTATTTCCCCGGTCCTTTGATGATCGCGCGATACCAAAGATGCAGTATTGCTCTTACTGCTATGGGCAGCGAAAAGACAACTAGTTACATCAGCTGCCGCCACTGCCGCTGCCGCTGCCGCTGCCACTGCTGCTGCTGCTGCAACCTCGGCATTTTCTTTTTGAACATGAATAATATCTTCTGGATCGGCAGCATTATGGAATGGAAATACCGAAGGTATGGCTGGGGTGGGAGGAGGTTTCAGTAGGTCGGCTTCTTTGGGGTCATCAGTGCGTAAGCGCTTTTTACGCAATTTGTTAACTAGATTACGCGTTGCCAAGAAACTATCTTCCTCTGTTAGTTCTTTAGTTGATGTGCCTAAGAGGCTAAGGCCATCAGCGGGTTCATCTAGTACCGAGTCAGCGTTCCCAGTCGTCGAGAATGATGAGGCTGCACTTAGCAAGGCATTTGCAAATGCATTTTGCTGGTGTTGCCGTTGTTTTTGTTGCACATTATCTTCCATATCTAATATCGTGTCAACAATCGGCTGATGACGGCTGTTACTGTTATTCAGCTCGTTTATGCTCACTGCGCCCTGGGAGTTTTCGTCCATGTTGTTGTGAGATTCATGCAATGAAATGTTAAGAGGCGTTGGCGGTATGCTCATGTTGCCTTCCAGGTTCGTTTTCTGAATAGGCGTTCCGCCAGATATGTCCACCACCAAGGCGGGTGAAGACGAAGGTGACGCGGGCGTTTGTGGCACTGATGATGCTGTTGCAATTTGTCCGGCTAAATCGATTTGCTGTTGTTGGTGATGGGGAATTTGTTGTTCCTGTTGTTGATGTTGTTGTTGTTGTTGATGCGTTTGTGGAAGTAGCTGATGCGCTTGTTGTTGCTGTTGCTGTTGCTGAATATTTTGTTGCGACTGTTGCTGTTGCTGCTGCTGCTGTTGTTGTTGTTGTTGTTGTTTGAGTCGCTCACTGCCTGTAGAATTGGAATTAGAGTCCAATTCAATGATCTCCGGTGGCTCAGGCGGTATAACCGCTACTGCTGGTGATGAGGAGGATGCCGAGTATTTGCTTGCGTTAGCAGCCATTTTACGTTCCTCTTCTAGTTCACGCAACAGCTCCATTTCGTTGAGTAAATGCTGTGTGTGATGTGTATGTTCTTCCTCTGGTGACAGTGGCGGACTGCCGGGTCGCGTCCGTCGATGTCTTCGATGCAGCCGTCTTCGACGCCGGCTGCCACCATTGGAGTCCCGTTCATCTGATGCATTCGAACGTTCATCATCCGACACCGAAGTTGCAGGTGATGGAGGCGACGCAGGCATTGGTGCTGCCGGTGGCCGTTCATCGATATCCTCCAGATCACAAATCTTGCTCGATGGCAAGGTCGTATGCGTTGGCGCTGTAGTTAACTCCTCGTCAATGTCCATTGGCACCTCACCACTTTCATTTTTCGTATCAATAATAATTTTCGGAGGTTCAGGTGGAGCAATGGATGTAATATCTCCCGAAGTCAAAACTGATGTTGAAATTAACGTAGGCGTAGGCGTCGCTGTCGGCGTTTGTATCGGCGTCGGAGTGCTCTCTTTGGCATCTAAATTTTCATTGTCGATATTTGTTGGTAGCGTTGTGGTCGGTAGCGGCGTGCAAGACTCGAGCGCACTTATCATAGAACTTCTGCTTGCTTCTTGCTCCAGTTTATTCAACAGTTTGTCCAAGGAACCCTGGTTTTTATTTTGATGTTTACCATTTCCCTGTTGGCTCGCGGAGTTGGAAGTGTTTGTGTTGCTATTTGACGCTTTACGTTGCGATATTTCCTCGGTTAAGGTTAACACAGACTTGCTCTTTTCGCTTTCACTCTCAGATACTCGATCGGAAGCCGATGCCAATGAATGTGTCAGTGGTATTGCGGCTTTAGGTGACTTTAGCTGGATCTTTTGGTCTACCTTCTTGTCGGTTTCTGTAGAGAGGAGCTGTGATGAATGAGGCGGCGATGATGGTCCTGATTTCGACCGACGCATGGCACGAGTCCGCATCGAGTTGGGTTGTGGCGTCGGTGTAGGACCTTCATCATCATCATCAACAACAATTGCAGCCTCTGACGACGATGCCTTGACTGGCGTTATCTTCTTTGTCTTGTCATCCAAAGATAATTTACGTTTCGTCAATTTTTGCTTACTTTCTCCGATGGCCTCATCTGCAGTAAGTGTATTGCCACTGCTACTGCTGGTATTACTGATATTACGTCGCAGTTGCTTTTGCGGAGAACTCTTTGGCGACTTGGTGCTAGCTGTTGTTGCGCTGGTGGTAGAGTTGTTCGCGGTTGAGTTTTGCCGAGTCATAGCTGGCGGCTTATCAATTGATTTACGAGGTGAACGCTTATTGGCTGCTGCAGCACGTGTAAGACGTTCTTCCTCCTCAACAACTTCGCTTTCTCCGTCAGTGGAATCACTGCTACTGCCGCTATCGCTACTGCCGTCCGATGAAGTTGAGCTGGTACTGCCATCTGAGCCAGAACTTGAAGATTCCGAAAGCGCTGTTGTTGCTGTTGACTTTTTAGTTGGCGTTTGCTGCTGCTGCTGTTGTTGTTGTACTGTCATTTCAACAGATATATCCTTAGAACGGCGTCTACTTGTTGTGGGTGTCTTTGGCACAGGCGTCACCACGTCTTTCGAAGTTGCTGCAGTGCTCTCACGCATAGACATCCGCCTAAGGGGCGGCATCCGTGTACTACGGCCTTCAGGTGTCCTCAATTTGCTTTCCTTTTCAGTGCGTTCTAAGCGCTCCTTATCTTCAGGCAAAGCTTCATTAACGGCGGGAAGTTTGCCACTGCTTTTAAGTTGTTCAGCCGCTTTTTTCGCTGCTTGTCTTTGGGGTACATAAGTGACAAGGATGTTGTTCGCTTTTGGATCATTTGTTTTAGACGCGGTTGGCGTTGTAGATTTAGCGGAGTCAACCACCGTCTGATCAATAGAAAGACGAGCGCTTCTGTCTGCTGTTGATGTTGTTGATGTCGATTTTACATTTGGTTGACTTTCAACTGTTTTACTGACATTTTTGTCATCTTTTCGCGCCCTGCTCGGTGAGTTGTAATCATTTTTGGAGGCTTCACTGTCCTTCTGCGCAGATGTTGCTGGAGAAATGGTTTCAACGTCCCGAGGCGTTAATTTGGGCGGTCTGCCTCGCTTTCCTGTTCCACGTTCCTTTTCTTTTTCTTTGTGTTTTTCTTTTTCCTTGTCTTTAGATCTTTCCTTATCTTTCTCTTTCTCCTTTTCCTTAACATCAGAGTCCACAGACTTGGCAATACTGCTACTGTTATTAGGAGCTTTCTCCTTTGCACGCATCCTCTCTGCTTTATCCTCATTCTTAGCGCCAGACTCCTTGCCTCTGCTTTTCTCAACTTCTTTATCTGAACGCTGATCTCTAGACTTTTCGACAACATCACGATCTGTGCTTGGTAAGCCTCCCGCTGTACTACCTGCAGCACCAGCAGCCGTAGTATAAATACCTGTCGAACGCATATTTTCTGATGCCTTCTTCGCCGCTTGCCGCTGTGGTACGACCAATAAATCTGCTGTAAGTTTATTCTGTCGCTCGATAGCTGCAGCGCTTGCCTTTTTACCTCGACTTTGAACATCGCTGCCCGGCGTCTTGTTTTGTGCGCTTGTTACTGGTTTTTGATCAGACTTACGCTCAACTATCCTATGTGTACTTATAGACTTGGACATTGGTTCCTTCTTTCCCCGATTGCTTAAGGCTGTGGATGATTGTTGTTGTTGTTGCAATGTAAATTCTTTCATTGCCGCCTTGGTACGTATGGTCTGTTGATTTTGCGAGTCGCTTACGTTGCTCTCTACTGCACGTTCATCTTTATCAGCTTCACCACCTGATAGACTCTCAGAGTCCGAGTATATTTGTTGCACTATTGACGCCGTACGTCCGGCCAGAGACGACGTTGGGGCTGAAATTGCTGTGGTCGCACCACTTGTACCATTTGGATTTCTATCAGCACCTTTTAATGGCAACAACTCCTCACTTTCGTCGCTGGATGTACTCTCAGATCCCTTCTCCTGTTGCAACTGTTCGGCCATCTGGGAGAGGAAGTCTCGACCACGGTTTGCTGTGGTCGTTGGTGAAGTCGTTGTTGTTGTTGCTGATGGTGGTCGCTGTGGTGCTGCTGATGTATTTGCTGTGCTGAGGCTAGATTTCTTCGGACTAATGTTGTTTTGCTTTGTTGACTTAGATTGTTGTTGCTGTTGTTGGTGTTTCGCAGGTACTGATCGGTTTTCCTGTTCGTCATCACTAGAGCTGGACAGCACTGTGGTAGCAGCGGTTTCGCCTCGCGCCGAGCCTGTGGCTGCGATGCTATTGTTAGCGCTTTTCCTACGCTGCTTCTGCCGCAACTCGACAGATCGTGAATAACTGTGCTTCTTCTGAGTTTGATTCGCAACTGTCGCAGACGCATGTGTTGCGGTACCTGATTTGGTAGGTGATAATTTTCGCGCATCTGTTGTTGTGGCTGCTTTGTCGGATTGTACGACGCTGCCGGCACTGGATGTGGAGGCAGAGGAGCATGAGCCCGTGTCAGATTCATCATCGGAACCAGAGCTGCCCGAATCGGTTGACGTTCCTTCTTCCTCCGATGACGAGTCATCATCACCGGAGGATGAACTCCCTGACGACTGGCTACTTTCATCCGATACTTTGCCCGAAGATTTAAACGCGGATTTTTTCTCCCCAATATTACCGCCTTTCAAGGCACGCGAACGCGATTCAGCTGCCATCGACTTTATATTCGAAGTGGTGTTACCAATTGCGTTAGTTTTCGATGCAGCATGCCGATTTTTCTCCGCCACCGTTCCACTTGTTGCTGCACCCGCACCAGCACCAGCTCCACTACCAGTAGCACTGGCCGAGCTGCGGCGACTAGAATTTGTCTGTTTTTCACTGCTCGCTTCGGTGCCCGCTACTGTTGCTGATGACGCAGTTGCTGCCGCTATCAAAGCACCACTCGCTTGTGCTAATGCTATTGCACCATTATTTACCTTCTTATTTGGCGAGATTTTATTACTATTGCTACTACTACCCGCGCCCGTTGCACTTGCATTTGCATTTATTGAGTTCGCACTTGCGTTTGTAGTATTTGTTGTTGTGTTAGTATTAGATATTGCCGACGCAGAGGCTTGTGTACTTTTTCGTTTTGTGGGTGATGTTGAAGTGCGCGTACCAGCACCGCGACCTTTACTACCCTTCACATTACCTAAGAGCTTCTCTAAAATGAAGTTAATATTTTGGTATTGTGCTGGAATATTTTCACCGCTATTCGATGAATAAAACCTATCATACAGCGTTGGACCATCATTTGCATAAATGACGGCCGTTTTGAAGCTATCATCTAAGCTAGCATCAATCGCCGTATTGGGCACATTGGAAACACCACTACTACTACTACCAATATCTCGCAAATTATCATCGCTAAGCACTGATATTTGCTTATAAAATACCTGTTCTCGTAGCTTAAATAGTGATCGCGAAAGCTTTTCACGCCTACTAACCATATAACAGAGATTTCTTACACGCTCCAAATCTTGACGTAAGTGCACGACCAACTTGTGATTTTCGAGATCCTGTTGCTCTTGCTTACGGGCAATCATCTCAACATCCTCCGATTTGGGTGGGATTAGAGCACGATTATGACGAGATTTGCGCTTTAATTTCCAATAATTATAAATCGATTCAATAGCTTCATCGTCCACATCGAACAAATGACAACTGATATCCTTAATATTGACGTGTTTATCGAATTCTGCCTCAACTTCCTGTAAACAAACAATTAGAAGAAAAAATATTGAAGTTGTTATTGTAACACGAATGTTTAATGCAATGTTTGTATTCCTTATTCTTAAACAGAATCAAATATGGGAAGAACAAAAAAGAATCCTATAAGAAAGACGGTTCAATGGGACAATAAAAACCAATTTCAAATAAGAATAAATAAATTATAGTAATAATTTTGTTTGAAAAAGAATTAAAAGGCTGTTGAAAAACATTTTAACTATAGGATGGATATTTCATTAACATATTTTACACAGTTAAAAAGAATGCTTACTAATATAGTACAGAAAGTAGAATGTTTTCATACATAAATTTTTTTGCTATAACGTCATACATTCTATAGTGATCTATGGCTTTTTTGAACCGAAATTCCACAAAATTGGCAATAATTTATAGTAAAAAAATTGCTTAGAAGCCGATAAAGTTACATTAAATTATTTTTTTTTTCTTTTTTGGCAAATAAAATTTTTTAATATCTTCTGTACGTTAAAGTATAACGTTGAAGATACTTCTTCCCATTTCTTAATATGGAATATACAATCCTAAAATAATTTCAATTTTTTCATAAATTATCAGTTATTTACGTTTAACTTAACAATGATATATGCAAGCATTTACCTGTAAACGCTGAGCACGTGCTTGATTGCGTTCCTCGGATGTCATGTCAGACTTTCGACTTTTACGTCGCCGACAATCGTCCTCTTCATTAGCTGCACCATGTGTACTATTATGTTTATTTGTGCTACTGCTATGCGCGCCGCTACCTTCCTTTTTACCCTTACTAACACTATGCTTTTGACAATATGAACGAAGCTTAACACCATCTTCTGCGTTGCCTTCCTCAATAATTGCGCGCATCTCAAGGCCATGTTGAAATGCGCATGTCACATGATAGGCGGTTTTACAAGTTTTAACTGAACACTGTATGCATGCGCCGACTCGAGCTCGACACAATATACAAACAAGTGCCCAACGACTCGATGGAATGCTCGAGATTTTTGTTATTGGCTCCATGCGATCTACACAACCAATGCTTACTTCTGGTATCCATAGAGCACATGATACATGCGCCCAATGTTTGCCTGATTTTGTAGATTTCATAGCGCCACCCTTGTTAGGACAAAGTACACAATCCGGTTTAATACCCATCGAACACGTCCGACAAAGCCATTGCCCTATTTTTAGTTATAAAAAGAGTAACATTTGTAATTTGATTTCAATATTTGCTCATTGTATGAAATATAGCAAAAAAAAAAAAAAAAAAAAAAGACCTAAAGCTTGTCAAATTACGAACCTGATGGAATCGCTGTAATACCATAACATGCCTGATGTACGCAAATATTGCAATTATCACAGAATACCATTTCGTTTGCCTCCTCAGAGTCGGGAGATCTGCACACGTCGCATATTACATTTTCATCGTACTCGATGCCAAGACCCTCCTCGTTTTTCAGGATTACCTGTATTTGCTCCCAACATCGAATCTGTAATATATAGAAATAATTAATTTTACCGTGTTTTTTTTTTTTTTTTGACATTTCAAATTTTGAAATTGAAACAAATATTAATTTGAGTAATATATTTGAAATGCAAACCTCTAATTCTTCGATTACGCGCTCAAATTGTGTTTCCGTAATGGAAAAAGCACCGTACTGTGCCCGATCGGAGTTGAGTAATTTAAGCCAAACTTCATCGACCGGATCAATGTCGTAGGCACATGTATTCTCCGCTTGCGCAACCACATTCGTCAGACAATGCAACTCGCTTGAGTAGGTATCGTCTTTGGTTATGCGCAGGAAGCGATTTTTGGGACTAAAAGGGAAAACAGTTAGTTGTTTCTTTCAGTAATGATTTTACAATTTTTTCGAAAAAACTGCTACTTACAGTTTAAAGTCATGCGCAGGCGGCACTATTGGTTCTGGCAGCACATAAACGGTTGGCTCTGGCAAAGAGTCGGGATTAACAGGTACCTGCACACCCTTCTCCCACTCCTGTTTCCATTGATCATTAACCACAAGATACTCGTAATTAGCCAAGGGCTCTGAATCTGGCAATTTCATTGCACTTATGAGATCCTTACTGCAAGTAAATATTAAAAAATAAGTGTCAAGAAAAACGAAAGTAAAATATGTTTTTTAGACATTTTATACATACCGATAGAGTTCGGCTGGTGCCTCCGTTGAGCTTCGATTGTAAATACTTGAAATTTTAATATCTGCCACCGAACGCGGCTGCCAAGCGGCCGCTGAAGAAGACGATCCCTGGCTGGCAGCTACCTTAGCACTTGTGGAAGCTAATGCTGCCATTTCCTCCGATACTAAAGCGACAACGCTATTTTGCTCATTGTCGACATTGCTATTGCTTATTGAAGAAGAAGCGGTATATGGTACACATAAAGGTGCAGTGACTCCTATGCTACCGCTTTGACTGCCACCAATTGTACCGCCAATGTTGCCATTAAGTCCACTCCCTACCCCACCTCCGCCACTACCACCGCTGCCATTACTACCTCCACCTCCATTGGGAGGCCGACCTTTACGCCTCTTTGTTGGCGGAGGTTGTGGCTCAACGTCGAGACGTTGATGATGTTGATGATTACCGCGTTTACCTCTTTGTGACATCTTTCATTGGTAACAGTTGATTTCTATTCGCCCAAGTGACTTCAAGAAAGAAACAAAGTACTCAACGTCCAACGTATTTTAGAAGAATTTTTCTTGTGCCTTAAAATGTCTCTTTTTTCACCTGTATATTTGCTGTACCTAAGTACAACTTCAGTTCTCTATTATTATTTTTTTCTATTTGGTTTAGTGATTATTAAATGGTGCCGATTTTACTTTATATTTTTTGATTGCGTTATGCACTAAAGTGTATTTTCTGGCTTTTATTGTGATTGGATAAACACTACTATATCTTTAAAAGTGTTTTCGTTTGCACTTTATATTTATGTTTAGAATAATACCTGAAATCGAATATTTGCAATTAGATTTTGATTATGTTCATAAATAGTATCAACAAGTGTACTTACTACATGCTTAAATCCTTAAGTGGCTAACCAAATGCTGTCGTTGATGCCTCTTTAGTTCTTGTTGGTAATGAGCATGTGGCACAGGTTGTACACTGGACCCCAGTTTTATTGAAATGGTATGTGTCAATATTTTAGCGTTGGGATTTGGAATTTTGGCCACTTTACGTATGCACGTACGATGGTGGCAGGGCGTTGAGTCTCGTACACGTCTTCGCAAGCGTCGGGAAAACATGGAGCGCGACGCTGCTTCTTTTCCGTGCCCGTAACGCGCCACTTTGATGAATTTTTTTAACTGCTCCAACAAAGCTAGAGATGTATAATTAACACGTCCCGCCCACTTGAACGAGGCAAGAAGGGCGTTAGTGCTTACCAAGTTGCAGCAGGGCAATAATGCCGCTGACTAATGACCACAGAATTACCTTTGTAGTCAGGTATTTATATTCCAAGATGATAATTTGCGCGTATTCATTAACGATGAAGTTGTTATATCTATGTTATTGATTTCACTTCGTAAAATTTCAAGTTCAGTTAAACTGGGTATTGCAGCAGGAAATGTTTGTTATTACTTGTTAAATTGTTCTTATTTCCGATTTATTCTCTTCTTTTAGAAGAAGTTTCCGCCTTTATTTTGCATCAATTTTCGCAGTGTGTATTTTGTGTATATTTCCTTTTGTTTTTCAATTTTCCTTGCACTTCGGAAAATATCATAGGTTTATATTTTAGATCTTTTGAAATATATTACTTCCGTCACATATATTCGATCAAAATGTTTTTAACTCGAGTTGTCTTTGTCATTACATTATTTATCTGTTTTAGAAGTAATTAAACATGTATTAAAAAAATATTTTTTTAAGAAATCTCTGCGCTTTACTTTTGTGTCTTGCACTACGTTTACGCTCTTTGCTATTCGTCTTTTCGATTGACAGCTACCTCTTGCTCACTCTTACCTATTTACTCTCTCATTCTCACATGCTTGAACAAATATTCGGCTGACCGTTCGATTTTCACTTTACATACTATGCTATGCAAACACATATGAATAGGAATATAAGGAAAATCTATGGAGAGAATCACAATAAGGGAATTGCCCTGTAACCTATAAAAGTTCTCTTATGTTTTGCCATTAATCTATTCTTTATATAACAACATATATCCAATTACATGCAAATAAATTAATAGTTTACACTGTTTTTGTTTTTTCTCCACATATTCGTTGGTCGGTGCCTTCTTCAAATTCGCCGGAAAATTCTTAGAAATACAACATATTACCAACAGATGGCACTGATAGGACACGGCGAGTTCCGTACAATTGCAAAACTAAATACACTGCAAAACCACATTAAGTGCACTAGTCGTCGCCCACGAACCCTTCATATACACGTGTGAGTGAATGAAATAGCCAGATGTTCAACTATGTCTTTTGGTAAAATTAAATGGTAAATTTTTGCTCGTATAGAATACATGCAATATATCCACGACATGAAAATAATTTTATCCGAAATCTTTTAATCACTATTGAATTGGGACACCTAATAACATCATATCAACACTAAATTATTTCCTTTTCAATATTTATGTATAAACAAATATTACAATGAACACCATACTTTTTCTACACTAATATCGTTTCCTACTTGTTCCCTTTTTGCGAATAGCTACCATCGAAAGCTAAGAAAATTTACTTTTGCCGCCGCAATTTCTCGTTAGACACATTTTCATTCACTATACACTAAATTTTTACCATTTTTCAATGCGCAATGCGCATTATTATTTTAGTTTATAGTTTTCGCGAGAACTTCGATTAATTCACCCCGTAGAAATTGCTTTTCTTCAATTTCTTTTATATTTACAAGACGTCGTCGCCATTATTAATTTTTCGACACTCCATTTTTTACTTCGCCTTAGCCACTTCTTCGCTGCATTTGTCATTACTTTCATAAGCCGCCAGATGGCTAATCCGTCACTTCTTTAATATAACTCATTGTGAATGCAAAAAAACAGTGATGTGATTGTTATCTCCGTAACCATCTTTCTCAATCGGAATGGAAATTGTTCACGGGTAGTCAATATCTTATCAGAATGTTATTCATTAATAATATATGCACTTATATGTTACCCGTAGGGAAATTGTGGCCCAAAATGGAAAATAAGAATTTTTTTTTTAAATTGGCAATTTTTCAATACTTCACTCGGCTAATAAGTGAACGATGAGGGTAAATTTATCGGATTCTACCACCAAGCGCAAACCATGACCACCAAGCGCAAACCTCCTCGCAAAGGTACTTAAATTACTCTTCATCATTCTCATCGGTAGCCGAGTGGTTAGCGTTGAATACTGCCATTCGAAAATTAATTCAAATAAAATAAATTTAATTTGATTTTCTGATTGCGGTCGCCGCTCGGCAGATAATGTCAACCCCTCCGAATGTATTTCTGACATGATATAAAGGCTCCTCATAAAAAACCATCAGCCGTTTTGAAGTGGCAAAGCTTAAACTGTGGGTCCCTCTATTTATTAAAAAAAAACTCAAGACGCAAAACCACACATTGGAGGAGGAGGTCTTCGGACGAAAATCGCTTCAGCGTTTACAATTCGCAATTTAAATATATATTCAAGAACAGCGGCAGGATGTTTCTCTACTTGTTAAAAAGTTATTAGCTTCTAAGTATAGAGACATTGGTTTGAGACGGAATTAACTTCAAGAAACATGAAGGGAGCTACTCTCATAGAACGTCAATCCACATTTTTTGTGGATATTGCAGCACAATAGACTCGTATCCATACAGATTCCATCAATGAAAATACATCACTCATACAGTGAGTTCGCCACAACAAATCCTGAATAATCTTCCCCCAGCAATATAACTCTTCTATAAATGAATTTTTAACTGGTAAAACAATCATCTGGTCCCAGTGCCATAGTGGTGTGTACTTCAAAGTGACATTTCTTTAGACAGATTAGAACAAGAATTGTGGTGAAATCAATAGTGAAAATTCGTAAAGTTTTTAGCGCTGGTAGACATTATACTTGATTACGCTTTGGAAAAACTTTAAAGCCTTAAAATTTTTCTGCCAAATTTTGTAGTGTATTTTTAACAGTATATATTTGGTAAAAATATAAATAAATAAAATAACTGTTTATTAACTAGCGAAAATAACATAAAGAAGTGATCGGAAAAAAGCAGTAACTTTAAGAGACGATACAGGGGTGTGGGGTTGAATGGCTCATGTAATTTTCTGTTTTATGAAAAACAAAGGCTTTGACAGGAAGTTTACGTGCAAAACTGGAGAACAAGTGAGCAAAGATAGACGGGAAGAAAGCGGTGGAAGAAACGATCGTCGAATAAACGTCGACTATTGAACAAGAGGGTTGGAGTTTTAGAAGCGACTTTAGCTTCGTTAATCCAACGGAAACGATGTCAACAACTTCTCCAAATTCTGGAAATAGTAGTAGTAGCAACAACAACTCTACAAAAACGACAAAGCGAAATCAAATTGACGGCGGGGATTCATACAGTGACAGCAGTAGCATTGAAGAGAATCTAGAAGCTGAGGAGCGGCGACGCAGAATTTTGAAAAATAGGAATAGGTGAAGTCCAACTGAGTAATTATTATTTTTTTTTTAACTATATAACTAATAATATTATAGGAGCAGTGGTTATTTACAAAGGAACATTGGCAGTAAAACTCAGCCCCATCATCAGCTGACTCAGCAAAGAATTAGTATGAGCACAGCAAGTGGTGCTATTCCGAAACATGATAAATCGGGCCCTACAGGCTCGGGAGTGTCCAATAATAGTTGCAGCCAAAATGTTGGAGGAGGCGCTTTGATGCGACCGAACGACCGTATTGCATTATTAGTGGACAATGTGCGCTTTGTAATTGAACAGGCGTTAGTAACTGCACATCCAAACACAATGCTAGGCACAATGTTTAGTTCTGGATTTCAATTTGTGCATCCTAATGAACGGGGTGAATATGAAGTAGCTGAAGGTATTTCGCACACAGTTTTTCGGGCAATCCTAGAATATTATAAAACTGGCCTAATTCGATGCCCTCCAACTGTATCTGTACCAGAATTGAAAGAAGCTTGTGATTATTTGCTGATACCATTCGATGCAACCACAGTTCGATGCCAGAATTTACGTGAGTTAAAACTTAATCGCATCTTAAGTCGAAACGTTTAATTATTATTGACATAGCATCTTTAAAATATATGCAGCATATATGTAGAGCTCACCATAACAAATTATTGTTATTTAGTAGCAATTTTTTCTCTCCCTTTCTTCTTTTCTTTATTTTTCTGAATTTTTAATACGTACTCATTTCCCCTTCCTCACATGAACTTTTTTGTGTTTGTACGCGTCCATATATTGTCGTCTAAAAGGAGGTTTACTACATGAACTTAGCAATGAAGGTGCTCGTCAACAATTTGAAGTCTTTCTAGAGGATTTAATACTGCCCTTGATGGTTGCATCAGCACAACGTGGGGATCGCGAGTGCCACGTTGTGGTTTTATTGGATGATGACGTTGTGGACTGGGATGAAGAATTTCCTCCTCAAATGGGTGAAGAATACTGCCAAAGTATGCAAATCTATAAATCTCCAATCCTCTTGAGGAAGTATTGTAAACTTTGTATATATTTCAGCTGTACATAGCACCGCTATGCATCGATTTTTTAAATACATTGAAAATCGCGACGTAGCTAAGCAAGTGATGAAAGATCGGGGACTAAAGAAAATACGTTGTGGAATCGAGGGATATCCTACGCACAAAGAAAAGATACGTCGTAGACCAGGTGGTCGAGCAGAAGTCATATACAGTTACGTACAACGCCCTTTTATACATATGTCCTGGGAGAAGGAAGAAGCAAAAAGTCGCCACGTCGATTTCCAATGCGTCAAGTCCAAGTCAGTGACAAATTTGGCTGAAGCCAATGCTGATCCACCTTTGGAATTAGACGCAAGTAAATTACGAACAGGAAGTGCAAATTTCAAGGGAATATAAAGTTATTTTTCCATTCATTAGGTGGTAATCCTATACGTCCCCCAGAAGTTAATGTAAACGCAGAAGCTCGAGCACCTTTTATACCAGACGTTGAAGCAGCCGGTGGTTTAGGCATTGGAGCGCCTGTAGCAGTTGCAGTTGATGAAGCAGCAGGTGGCGTAATAATGCTGAATGACCTTGAACATGCTTCTGGCGGTGCTGTTGAAGAATCTATTTGAATACACATGTCCTAAACACAAAAAATTATCATTTAAAAATCATAAACGCATGTACTCTGTCCTCCTCCATACATATGTATAACCAAATGCAAATATGATATTAATATACGTTTCTTATTTACAAAGAATAATTAGCATTTAATTAATGAAATTTCGTTCCAAATATTGTAAGTGTATGTATGTCTTTCGCATAATTATATTGAACAAGCAATTTTAAAAGTCTAGCTTTGAAGTTTCTGTCAATGAAGAAGTATCCCAATTCATGCAACGTTCCACAGCCATTTTCCATTTTTTGTAACGCATATTCCTTTCGTAATTTCCAATAGCTGGCTTGAAAATACTCAGCTCACCAGAGCTACCGACAAGAGGTGCTGTGATGTCAAAGCTCGGTTCCACAACCATGTAAGCAGCCAATGCAGCGCCCTGTAAAGAAAAAAGATATTTGAACAAATTATTTTTATGAAATATGAAATATAGCATACCAATGCTGTTGTTTCCTGCATCTTAGCACGAATCACGTTTATACCAACCAGATCGGCTTGTATCTGTAAAAATAGATTGTTAGCGGTCATGCCGCCATCAACCATCAATTTGGACATTGGTATGCCACAGTCTTTGCGCATTGATTCCAAAATGTCTCGGACTTGAAAGCAAATGGCCTCGAGAGTAGCACGTACAATATGTTCGCTTGTTGTTTCTTCACTTAAACCGCAGATTGCACTGAAATAAGTTTGAAAATTACATATGTATGTATATTAAAAATTAAATACATTTGTACATATCGAATTATATGTGAATTACCCACGAGCTTCTTGATTCCAATATGGAGCATAAAGGCCACTGAAAGCCGGCACAAAATATACGTCCAAAGAGCTATCTACTTTTCCAGCCATCTCCTCTACTTGATTAACGGAATCAAACAATTCCAAATTGTTTTTCATCCAGTTTATAGCTGCACCAGCAATAGCTACACTACCTTCTAAGGCATACGCAATCGGTGCACGCGGTCCTAATTGATACCCAACTGTAGTAAGTAAGCCATGTTTGGATTGTACTATGGATGTCCCTGTATTATAAAGAAGAAAGCAACCTGTGCCGTAAGTGGATTTCGCGAGACCATGACTTAGACATTGTTGCCCCACAAGTGCCGCCTGTTGATCTCCTAAACATGAAGTTATTGGTACACCTTTCAAGACACCAACAGTAACATCCCCATAACGTTCTGCGCTTGAACGGATTTGAGGGAGCATAGCGGCTGGTAAGCCGAAGAAACGCAAGAGATGTGGATCCCATCTTAGCGTCTCAATATTCATTAACATTGTGCGTGAAGCATTTGTTACATCAGTGTAATGAACCCCACCATCAGGTCCACCCGTGAGTTTATATATTAACCACGTATCAATAGTGCCAACTTGGCAGGTATTAGCTTCCATTGCCCTTTGAACATCACCTACATGATCTTTCATCCAACGCATTTTTAAAGCTGAGAAATACGGTGAAATAGGAAGACCACATAGAGGTTTTAAATAATTGATATTACGCGACTTGTTAGGTATTGTCTCGACAAGCTCATCAACGGTACTTGAAGTACGATTATCCAACCATATGATTGCATTATGCAATGGCTTACCGGTTGCCCGATCCCAAATTATAGTTGATTCTCTTTGGTTTGTTATACCAATAGCAATGATATCCTGAATAGTAGATAAATAAAAATGTTAGTAAAATACAGTACCCTACATAAACTGGTCGTTACTTTTAAAATCCGGAATTCACGAGACTTAATGTAAAACAAAATATTCCGTGTTTATTACAGAAATTAAGATAAGTGTAATAATAATGTTTATTGAAATTGCATTTTATATATAAAATAATATATAAATCAATATTTGAAGCGTACTTGCTCAATATTTTGAATTGAAATAGTAGCAAAATTAGTACGGAGCTTTTTTAATGCAACCCTTTTTGTAACAATGTGGTGTATTTCAGTAATTTGTGGTGAATATTTCTTCACTCAACCAAAATTTAGGTTTCTTGTAATCAAAAGACAATCTGGATAAAGTACGCACTGTGTATTCTGTGCGAAAAAATTGGAACGAAAGGCCTTATCAATGCTGTGCCATCGACTAATATTTAAACTCGTCACCGGCACTGTACATAAATATAATTTTCATCATAGAAATCTTGCATTAAGAATGTCCTCTAATCAAGCATCAAAAGTCATCGCCATTGGGCAGATGTGTGCCACAAATAATAAAGCTGATAATATGCGGCAAGTTGAAAAGCTATTCAACAAAGCTAGAGATCAATCTGCGACATTTTTATTTTTGCCGGAATGTTGTGACTTCGTTGGCGAACATCGGAAACAAACATTGGAGTTGTCAGAGCCTTTAAGTGGTGAAACAATGAATCAGTACAAAGAACTAGCTAAAACTCATAAAATGTGGCTTTCGTTAGGAGGAATTCATGAATCCATACTTGATGAGAATAGTTGTAAAACTGATAAAATATTCAATTCCCATGTTCTTCTTAATGATCTGGGCGAAATAGTGAGCGTTTATCGCAAATTGCATCTCTTCGATGTGGAAACGGAGGAAATGCGATTTCGTGAGTCTGATGTCGTCACGCCAGGACCACATTTGGTACCACCCGTTATCACGCCTATAGGCTTGTTAGGCATGCAAATATGTTACGACTTAAGATTTGCCGAAGCCAGTACTATTTTACGCAAATCCGGTGCACAGATTCTCACTTATCCTTCGGCTTTCGCCTACTCAACCGGCAAAGCACATTGGGAAATTTTATTACGTGCACGCGCTATAGAAAATCAGTGTTATGTTATTGCTGCTGCTCAAATTGGTGCACATAATGCTAAACGCACTAGTTGGGGGCAGGCTATGATCGTAGACCCTTGGGGAAAAGTTTTGGCTAGCTGTGAGCAAGATAATTTGGCAATTGCAACGGCAGAAATTGATTTGAACAAAAATGCTTCGGTGCAAAGAAACATGCCTGTACTGCAACATAAACGCAATGATATATATTCTCTAACAGCTTTCGGCATGGGTACTGTTAATATTACCAAAGACCAACATTTTGCTAACAATATCATAAAAAAGGAAACAATATTTTATGAAACTGAACATTGCTTTGCCTTTACAAATCTGAGATGTGTAGTGGAAGGTCATGTTTTAGTCTCCACAAAAAGGGTTACCAAACGTCTAGAGAGTCTACTTTGTCATGAGATTTGCGATCTATTTTCCTCTGTCTGTAAATTACAAAGAATGTTAGAAGACTTTTATAAAACAACTTCAGCTACAGTCACTGTTCAAGACGGCCCAGATGCAGGTCAAACAGTGCCACATGTACATTTTCACATTTTGCCTAGACGGCCAAAAGATTTTAGTGAAAATGACCATATTTATACCCGAATGGACGACCGATGCTTGGATCAACCAGATCGCACTTTAGAAGATCGTATATCGGAGGCTCAAAAATACCGTGACTTTATGAAAGGACAATAAAATATATCCATTCCTAGTATATACATATGTATGTATAAAAAATATAAATAAAAAAGTGTATAAAATTATTTCAGTAAGTTTAGCTCAATTTGTAAATAACCGATATGTAATTGGATATGATAATTTGAAATAATAAACATTATATAATCAACCAAACTCATAAATTTATGTAATCGTAATCTAGCTCACCTTGGCTGAACCTCCTAACTTTTCGAGTTTTTTAACGGCTTCCTCAATGCACTCTATTACTAAATCATATACAACCATAGGATCTTGCTCCACCCAACCTTCCTGTAAAATCAATATATTTATATTTTTCAGTAGACTTATAATAATTATAACTTTTTCATTACAAATACTAACTTGTGGATAAATAGACGGCACTGGGATTTGATGATAACACACAACATTGTTTGTACCTGCACGAAAGATCATAAAGCGAGCGGACGTTGTGCCCTCGTCAATTGATCCTACTAGTTTCCCAAAAGACATTTTATTTTAAATTTCTTATGGCTCCAAATACAATGTACGATTTATTTGTTGTAAATTGTGTTTCTACCCTTGAACTTTGATACGTGCTGATTGATAAGAAGTTCGATCAAATGAAAATTGACAAAAGCAATTCCGATTACTCAGTATAATAGAACTTCAACAATCTATCTACATATGTTCATAATGATATGAAAATATTTTTGAAACTATAAACTATTTTATTTATTTACTATTTAGCTTTTGTTATCGTTGTTTATCTTTTTCCGGTTATGTATATTTTTATGCAAAAGATGTCTGATAAGGAATATACAGGGCTGCATTCCATGAACTTTTAAAATGCCAACTACATTTTCAATGTATTGATGTCAAAACGTAGTAGTTTTAACTGTATTTTAAACTAAAAGCTTATAGTAACAACTTTATATTCTCTAAAAGTAAATTTGTTAATTTCATTTGTGTGCAACACTAAAATAAACCTTTTTCAGTGGATTTATCAAATAAACGTATTAATTCTAGTAAGTAACAAGAATCTCATTGCATCTCTGCATTTTTACTTATAACAACAGCTAACTTAGCAAGAGACAAAGTAAAATTTATTGGCAAATTTTTGGTTTAATAGCATTTATTTCCTTGGAATAATTTGTGGTAATTGTAATAAGTGTTTATATACATATATAGTTTTATTGGCAAAAGGCTATTGGCCAGCTATATTATTGTGTGTTAAAATTTGATTGAAATAACATATTTAACATGTCTAGCGAAGACCAAAGGTAAACAGCATATAGAAAACTTAATGAGGTTATGAGTGATTTACTATGCTAAATATGTATTTATTTAAATCGAAATTTTTGCTTTTTTCAAGTATTGATTCCAGCGAAAGTATGGACGAAAAGCTGTTCAAATATACTTCGAGCTCACAGAAAAAATCTAAAAAAGAAAAGAAACATAAAAAATCAGGTAAAAGCGAAAAATCTCATAAGAAGCATAAAAAGTCAAAAAAGCGACATCACAAACACAGCGAGTCTTCAATTTCCGAAGATGCTGGTAATCAGCGTCGTAGTGGAGCTTTAAATGAGAAATTTACCGAAATTATGTATAAAGTTACCAAAGATGTTACGTCAGTTAACCGGAGTGATCAGTCAAACGGAGGTAGGTTTGGTATCACGAAAACTCATATTCAAACAGACCCTGGCAGCCTGGTAGAAGAGATTACTAAGACGATACAAAATAATATCTTGCCAACAATGGAAGTAGCGTCTTCTGGTAGCGAAAGTGAAGTGTAAGTATAAATATATATATGTAAGTCTATAAGCGAAATGTAATATTTTGTTCTTTTCTTTTAGACCAAATGACGTCGCTAGCCCAGATGTAGCAATTATAGAAGATGAGCTTAATCTTGATGAACTGATGAAACAAAAAGCTCTACTTCAAGCACGCTTAGGTGCATATTTGTCAGAGTCTGATGGTGAAAGTAGCCAATCCAATAATGAATCAACAGCAAACCACAGCCAACGTAAAGAAATCGTTAACACAATAGTATGCGATGATAAAATGAAGACCGATACCCACCGATCAGTTAAGAAGCGGTCATTGTCCTCTTCGTCAACAACTAGTAAAAATGTTATTAGTAAACATAGTAAAAAACATATTTCAAATGAACCCGATGTTATATTATTGGATGATTCTAGCGGTGGTCAACGTACTCCAGAGGCAAAACGTAAACCTTCACGTCAACCACATGTGATCAACAAAGACGATCGTGTGCTGTCACCACGGAGAAGGTCCGCAACGGAGCACTACCACCACAATCGCCATTCTCTAAACGATTCACAACCGCCACGTCGCCATAGTTCACGAGACCGGCATTCAACTCTTGTTAAGCGCAGCCGTAGTCGATCTCAGCGTCGTGATTCAGATCCTCAACGGCGTCGTGATGATAGTCATAGCCGTGGTCGGCAACGGCGTGATATGCATGATCAAAACCGAAATAAGGAAGATCTTCGACTGGAGATAAACAGAGACAAACGCCGCGAAAGAGAGAACAGTCGTGACCGCCGAGGGCGAGACGATCGAAATAAACAGACGGATCGCGGAGGTGGATGCACTTTTGGTAATATTCGTGGACGCGAGCGTGAACGAGAACGTGATAGAGATCGTAGAATGCGATCTCACAGTCGCAGTAAAGTTGAGTCGGACAGACGTCGGGTTGAACGGGAACGACAGCGCGAAGGAAAAAACGACAGAGATGGATGGAAAGGTGAGGATCGCGGACGTGATCGTGAGAGGGACCGTTACCGCGGTTCTCTTAGCGAAGGTCAAAAAGCTGAAGTCAAAGATACAAGCAGTGAAGATGACAACTTAGATATTGACATCAATGAAGACGAAGATGAAGAGGAGAGAATAATTGAAATGCGACGAAAACAACGCGAAGAATTATTGAAAGTATGTAACATTATAGTAATTTTGTAGAAATGGGTTATTAAAAGAAAATTTCTTTATTGCAGAAACTTGGTAATAAAAAAGAAGCATCACCACCTAATAATATTACACATTATCGAAGGGAAGACAGTATACCGAGAAAAGAGAGTGGTAAGGACTATGAGCCTTTGGCTGACAATTCTCCAGCTAAATCGACGCCTGATGTGGAATCAAATATTATGGAAGATAATGATTTAGACGATGAGAAAAAAACTAAAACATCAGTAAAAGAGAAACGCCCTGAATGGGATATGTTTGCAGATCAAGACGTGGACTCAAACTTTGATGTGAGTCGATTGCTTGTAACTGTCTATATACTTTCGAACATATTACCAAAAAAGCAAGGAGTTAACTAAATTTTATACATTACAGTCCCCTGGCGCAATAATCTTGAATAAAACACAGCATGAAAACCCGGCATTAACAGATAATTGGGATGACGCCGAAGGTTATTATCGGGTGCGTATAGGAGAAATTCTGGACAACCGTTATGTTGTTAGCGGCTATACAGGACAGGGTGTTTTTAGTAACGTAGTGAGAGCACGGGATCAAGCGCGAGGAAATGCTAATGTTGCTGTTAAAATTATTCGTAATAATGAAATAATGTAAGAATCTAATTTGCTTTTTGAATTTTTTTTTTTCATAGAAATAACTATTTTAGGCATAAAACTGGTCTGCGTGAACTGGAAATTCTTAAAAAATTAAATGATGCCGATCCAGAGGATCGCTTCCATTGTTTAAGGCTTTTCAGACATTTTTTCCATAAGCAGGTTAGTTTCCTATTAAAATATATTTCGTTTATTATTTAATTATACTTATTTTATTTAGCATCTCTGCATGGTGTTTGAGCCACTATCTATGAATCTTCGAGAAGTGCTTAAAAAATATGGTAAAAATGTTGGCTTACATATAAAGGCGGTGCGTAGTTATACTCAGCAGTTATTTTTGGCGCTTAAACTACTTAAAAAAACTGGCATACTTCACGCTGATATTAAGCCCGATAACATTCTAGTGAATGAAAATAATTTGTGTCTGAAACTTTGCGATTTTGGATCTGCATCGACCATTAACGATAATGAAATAACACCATATTTAATATCGCGTTTCTATCGTGCACCAGAAATAATATTGGGCATAAATTATGATTACGGTATCGACATGTGGTCAGCTGGTTGTACCATTTATGAGCTATATACTGGCAAAATTCTCTTCAGTGGAAAAAGTAACAACCAAATGCTAAAGTTCTTCATGGACTTGAAAGGTAAAGTACATAGATACAACATACACATTTTGGAAAAATTATTTCAAACATTCAAAACGTTTTTTATGGTTTAACTCTTTCAGGAAAAATACCGAACCGCATCATTCGCAAGGGTCAATTCAAGGATCAACATTTTGATCAAAGCTGTAATTTCCTTTATCACGAAATTGACAAAATTACAGAACGGGTAAGTAATTGCATGGCACTAGAAATCAACTGCTTCACGTTCATATTAAAATATATTTCTCTTAGGAAAAAATTGTCGTTATGCCTGTGATAAAAGCTGCACGAAATTTACAACAAGAGCTAGTGGCTGATCAGAATTTACCAGATGACCAACTGCGTAAAGTGACACAATTGAAAGATTTATTAGATAATATGTTTGCACTAGATCCATCGAAACGAATCTCTTTAAATCAGGCGCTTACGCATCCTTTCATTCAAGAAAAGATGTAAACGACCATTTAAGCAAAACAATTTGTCGCATTTTATTAAACCGACATGAGGTGTAAGAGTGAACTATGGACGCCGATACATCGGGCAAACATACAACAATGTAATTCTTTCCTAAAATGCTGCTAATTTTGTATTATATTTTACATTATGGCAGTAAATAGTGTTTATATAATTAAGTATTATACAATTACTTATACGCGAAATATGACGTATCATCGACAAATATTTTTATGTACAATTGTACAAGACAAGAGAAAAACTTTGCAGAAATGCAACGGTGCTTTTTGAGCAAGAAATATTTTTATTTGGAAATTAAGTGTAATTAATTTTACTACTAAAACTTTGGCTAGTTTCAGTAATTAACTTCAAATACTTTGCCACAGTACAAAACTAATAAAAATCTGTCAGCTCATGTCAAGTAGTGTTCTAAGTCTTGAACTAGTATACCTTTCACTGCATTATACATAAATTGGAATGTAACATAACTGAAATGAGTAATTTATTTAATTGTGTTGTGAAAACCAGATAACATCAAAATCCAAACTTGTATCGTATTAAATGACTTTAGTTAATATGTAAAATATCGAAGGATGTTTTAATTTTACGTTTAAATCATTAAGCTTAGAATATTTCTAACTTTTGTGCTTATTTTCTTTACTTTATGCCGCCATTTATTCTAATTTTTCCACTGATTTGCCAATTACTTTTAAAGAGCGCAAGTAGTATATATTTAATGAACAATTTCATTTAAAAAATTACCAAAAAAAAATAATTTCGCGTATTTTATATACATATATACATATATATGTATGAGGTTCTTTTACTTGGTTATTATAATAATATTGAAACGCGAAATGTTTGCTATATTTATTTGAATTTGAATTTGTCGACATATGGTATGCATATGTAAATACACGTATGCACATACATATGTCTATGGCAATGAATAATACCTTATTGATTTTTTTTTTTAAGTTTTTAATTTTTATCAATTTTTTAATTAATAATTGCTGAACCTCACGATTGCTTAATCATATTTACTTAGAAAATACCACTTCTGTTGCAAGTCAGATAGACGGGTGCTTTTTTCATTGTCGTAAATTTCCGTATTAACCAAGTCAAAAAAATAAAATATGTATACATATTTAGATCAACCCGCATGTATTATACCGGTTTTTTAATTTATTTGTACTGAAACATTACTATAGTATTCGATTTAATTTCAGAATGACGCTGTGCCTCATTAGATTAGAAAAAGCGCAGACGTGCTGATTGATGACCATCAATTTATACATTTCGTGACGAACGCGAACTCAGCATGTATTTTGTTTATTGCCCTGGTAATAATAATTTGGGTTTGAAGTGTTTTATGTAGACAAAAATCAATATAAATTATTAACAAATCTGCATTTCGGAACAGCGTGGGAATCGATTTGCTGCCAATGGATGACGCAACAAATCATTTCCAACGCCACACGTTTCGAATGAAGAATTAAATGAATTTATCTACAAACGAATGTATGTTAAATTTTTATCTAAAGTGATTATTGTTTTTCTTTTAAATTTCAGGCGGCTGTTACACAGCGATGATAATACTATAAAGTAAAATGAATGTTTAAAAATTGTAGTTATTTCATCGGCAGTAAGTTAAGAACTATTTAAGTGTAATCGATTTCATAAATTTTTACACTATTACTTCAATTTTTAAGGTTTTAAGGATTCATCAATTGATTTCGTACGTTTGAGGAAGACTTTCGTGGGGTGAGAGGAGATCTTTTGGTAAAGTACAAATTTTGAGGTAAATTATGTTGGGCAGGAAAAGCGATATTACATCATACACACACATACTAAAACTGAATAAATACACATATACATGGGAATACTAAAATATATTTGGCCAATATGCATTACACATTTTGTGATGCAAAGGAATTATATATGTATGTAAAAGCATATGAATTTTCATTTTTATTTATTATATTATAAATTTTTAAAATTTTCAATTTGATGTGATGCTAGAATATAAGAAAAAAGACGGGAGTCAAAATTTATTAAAATTCTATGTTATCCTATAGATGCAAGACTGATATCGGATATCTGATAAGTTGACTCTATTGGGACTTCAAAAGACAAACGCATACCGTTAAGACATTTTACCTGCTTATAACACTTCTTACTGAAGGATAAAAAATATGCCGTTAGGTGGCACTAAAGTCCAATTTACCAAAGCTCTTTATAAACTGCCTTTTCATATATTGGGATATATACTGATTGGGGTAAACGAATCCCGTTTACAAGAAATTGTTTCACTGTTTAATAATTACTGAGAAACTAGCGGATGAGCGAAAAACTAATATAACTGTGTAATTTCTCAAAATGTGCAATACTTAAAATGTCGTGAAGCATTCATGATGAGCTCCTGAAATTTGGTATTTTTTCCATTTATTTTTTTTACATTTGTTTCCAAGTGAAAAAGTACACTAAAGCGCAGGGGTTGCTGCCGTTTAAATTAGCTGAAAGAAACACTAAAAACAGTAAACTTGAACTACAATTTATCGCTTCTCCTGCCGCCGACAAATTACTTTTAAACGTTCATACATACAAAGTTTGAGATATTTATTTAAAACAAATAAATACAATTGAAATTAGACTGTTTTATTAAATATACCAGAGCGATTCAATAATAAATTAGAGTACTTATCTACTATAAATACTTATCAGCTATGAAATTTCTCCTTTTGGTATTGGCAAATTAAGAGCATCTTTCAGAGCCTCACTTGCACATAGGCTAGGTATCACTGCAGCCGACTGACTACGTAAAACGCATTGCATTGTTTTTACCTTCCAATTGTTTTCAGCAAATGGATCACGAAGTAAACCAAATGAACACTCAAATACACCAACACAATTTTGTTCAGTATGTAATGTATTGTACCACAAGCTACTACCAGTACCAAACCGTGTACATTCATTTGTCCTTGTACTTCGGCATGAGTAAGATTGGGATTACAATAGAATCCAACTTGATCTTTTGATCTGAAGAGATTCACAATGACCTCGTTAGCACCAGCACACTCATAATCATTAATATGATCGGAGGCAGCAATGCGCAACTGTAGCTGTGAGTCCGTCCAAAAATCTTCTATTTTTAGGCTTTTGTCGTTTAGATTGATAAAAAACCATTCCGTAAATTTCCGTGCTAAAATGTGTATTGGAAAATGAGATTCTTTATCATCCCCATTGTTTGCATTGGCAGTTATGGTTATTTCCTTTTGTCTTTCTGTAATTTGTTCATTTACTTGCGTACAATGTGTGATAGTTTCGGTGATTTCATTATTTTTTGATGTGCTTAGATCTAACTTATATTCTGCCAAGCGATTCCAATATTCTATAACTTTACTGATTAATGCACCTTTGGTAAAATCAGAATTTACTTGAATTTTTCGCTGATGTAGATATTTAAAGAGCATTTCGCGGGTTACAGCTCGTTTATTGAGTAAAGTTAGTGTGTCTCCCACTTGTATGTATACGTAGTCCAGTGCTTCTGCGAGGAATAGAGCCGGTAGAGAGCAAACTAAAATTTATTGAAATTCTTAATGCTTACCTTGCGTTGTAGTGACGTCGCAAACATTTTTTGTCACGCTTCTGGCCACTTGTAATAACACTGGGACATTTTGCTCTTCATTTACTAACAAATCAACGATACCTAGTTTTTCCTGTTCAGTGATTGGCATATTTGCATTAAAAATTTATGTTGAAACACATTCCGTTTAACAATTCCTTTCACAACAGAATAAGAGCAAAAGCAAACTCGTCAGCTGATCATGTATTTATTTATCAGGGTTGCAAAAGAAAGTATAGATATGTAAATATGTAGAAAACAAATTTCAAGACCCCCCTGAGAATCTATAACATCAATATCTATTTCTCATTAAGTATTTGTTTGAATAATGAAAAAAAATTTAGAAAAAAGGCTTACCTCTAAAAAATCATTGATTCGATTGACTACTTAACGATATTCGATAGAATAAAATAGAATAATATCGTTTGTCAAAACAAATAATCGATTAAAGCTATTTTGCCATCTTTGGATGTCAATTTCCTTGCACAAGCAATCAATTTTTTGATTCAAGCTCATTTACAAATATTTATTGTGCAATAAAAATATTTGAAAACAAATATTAAAATGGTATTTACTGCACGAAATGAAGAACGCGCTTTCATAATCGAATGCCTAAAAGTATACAAATCTTTACCTGCGTTATGGGACTCCAAATCACCGGAATATCGAAAGAAAGTTCAGAAAGATGAAGCTTATGAAGTTTTAGTGGACAAATTCCGAGAGAAATATAAAAATATCAATCGCAAAGATGTAACTAAAAAAATAAATACATTGCGAACGAACTTCCGTAAAGAATTAAAACGTTTGGCACAAGAGGGTCGCGAGGATTCTAAGCTTTGGTATTTTGATGTAATGAAATTTCTAAAGGACCAAGCAGCTAATAAAGAAGAAGAGGTACTCCATAATATTCTGTATGACATTCAAATAATTTTTAACCATTTATTTATATCTTAATAGAGCTTTCAAATTTCATACGATGAAGGAGAGTCATTGAATATAGAAATAATTGAACAGCCATCATCACCCATTTCTGATAAATACGCTAAGGAAAATCTGAGTGAATCTTTAGTACAACTCAATGCAGCACAAACATCGAGTTCGGGAGTTTTAGGAGAATATGAACTCAAATTGGCCGAAACTTGGGCTATGGAGCTGCAGAAGATGGCACCAGAACAGCAAATATATGCTAAAAAAGCTATTAATGATATAATTTATGAGGGGCAGTTGGGAAATTTACATCGAGATAGTGTGCGTATTTCCATGCCAATGGCAAGACTTGTTTAATTTTTAAATTTATTCATTCTTAATTCTAAAGACAGTTATACTTTATTTTCTCATATTTCAAGATATATCATTCCGGTATATCACCGCCAGGTACCAACTGTAAATAAATATGTAATGTTTTAATAGTAAAATAAAATTATATTATTTGAAAATATATATATGTTTTTCCCTACCATTGTTATGTTATTTCCGTTGAGGAGTATTTGATCCAGTTTGGTTATGCGCCTTCCTTCAGGTGTATTTTCATATTCCGTCACATCATCTAATAGCATATTGACGAAATCATCAAATCCCAACAGTGTACCAACCATCTCCTTATCATTCTTCATGATAATGTGTATGCGTGAACCAATGCATTTATCCACCAATTCTGTATGCGAGAAATGTTCAATTTAACATCAGGTTTCAACTACAAATATAACTTTGTTTAATTACCAAGTGGTAGTAAAGTAGACACATTTGAAGGTGGAGGAACTGCCGTCATTGTTAATAATTTTATTAAACAAATGCAAGAAAACTACAAATTGATCAACAAAACGCGGACTATTCCGATCAGCTGTGTTAGATGTCATATTGCTTGCCGGTAACACAGGGTTGCAAAATTGAATTTTAATAGCTAAAAGTAATCGATTAATACATAAAATAATATAATAAAGTTGTTTACTAGTTTGTTAAAAAAATACTACTATCTTTTAAGTTAGAAATATTGATGGAAAGATTACGATACATGTACTATTCAAATTGACGAAATCAGTTTGTTACTATCGATGAGCAGTTCATTCCCACCATGGTTATGTCAGTCCCATCATTCCAAGGTGGTCTAAGGAAAGTGCTGTTTGAAGAACATTTCTTTATACCCATGGAAGGAAGGTCATAAAGGAGAACAGTGGCTTGCGAGAATTCGTTTACTTTGCCAAAGCTCGTAAACATATTTTGGATGGATGGGAATCTTACAATCCGTAATTATGCCTCGAATACCGTAAACAGCTGTTTATCGATAGCTTTAGCTTAATTAACCGATACTTAACGCCTGCGCTTATGCTATATTTTTCCAGTTGCAACATGTGCGCCATCAAGTTAGTTGTGCAAATGCACATACAAACAAATTTAAATACTTAAATAACTTTATGAATGCGTATGTATGTACCGTTGCTAGACATGGGTGAACTTCCGCTTATAGTTGAAAGCCATTGAATATTGAATATATTAATACTAACAAAAGCGAAGAAAAAAAAAAACTAAAGAAACGCAGAAGAAAAATACCGAAAAAAGCCAAAAAAAAGGTGGTTGATTCGGACAAACATTTAATTTGTAATGAATGTGAAACTAGTAGATATAGTCCGCACACACAGCAACACATGCATGTGTGCATATGTGTGTATGTAAATAGGTAGCTTTGTTACCATTTAGGGAGAATTGTAGGTGGCATTTTGGGTAGGAAAACACCATTTTTGCCTTTTTGTGGTTTAAAGTAACACAGTATCGTCCATGACTTCGGCCTGCGCAGAACAACGAACGGAAAATATTAGAAATATTGTAAAAATAATTTGTGCATATACAACCACAATAACTATCAATATATGTAGTTAATTTAAGCAAAACGGAAAAGGTTTAATGGACGTTGAAACAATTTTTAGTCACAAATAAGGGGAAAACCGGAAAATATTAACATTAGCATGTTGAATGAATGAATAAAGCCAGTGAAGCATGAACATTTTTTTAATCTCTCGTCGCTGTTGCTCAGCTTGTGTGACTTTTGTTTTGTGAATGCATATGTAGTGCATACATATGTACATATGTACACACTGATATAAGTAAATATAGAAGCGAAATCAACAATAATTATATAATTTTTTAAATAATTAATTTTAGATACTCTGAAAAAAGGGCTTACAAATAAGTGCAAAAGAAACCGAGAAACAGCCGATATATAGTATATTTTACAGTAAAATTCACATATTACTCAATACCGTATTAAGGTTGTGTATCCTAGAATCTATGTAAATGCATAACGTCACACCGTTAACTAAACTTCTTCATAAATCTTGCCAAAGTCAGTCGAATGCGCAAACAGTAAATCAAAAATAAAAAATATGTAAATGGTATAACAGTAAATTTGCCAAATTTTAACCTACCTTAAAAATAAAAAATAAAAAAAAAATAAATTTAATTATTTGCACAATGGCCACGGTCAATGCGAATCCCATCAGCGCCAGTTGTCATAGCATCGCCTCGGCTGGCGGCCCGAGTGCTGGTAGTTTGGGTACGATTGTTATTGGCGGCGGCACGACACCGTGCCAACAGCGTTCGACAACTCACTATGTCAACGGCACTGGCAGTTTGGGCCGTCTCAAGTATCATCATAAGCACAAGATTCTGGATGCAAGCGATGAGGAGCTCGATTATTCGCAGGTGCGTACATACGTGTGTTATATATACTACCCATATGTATGTACATATATATATATATATATATGTATATGTACATATGTATACATGTTTTAGAGAATTTTGACCCCTTATGCGAAATTGGTAGTGGCGCAAGTTATAACTATATTCGTACATACATATATAATATTAGGTGTAGTAAAAAGAAATCCATTATTTTTTCAATATATCGCGCAAGAGCAAATAGGCTTATTTTACAATTTCTCTACCATAAAGGTGAAAACGTAAGCCAGGCGGCTGAAAATGTGACAGATGAAATGGTCCTGATACTGTTACAGTCAATCATCCACAATTTTGGTTTCATTCCGGTAATTTTGAAAAAATGCTTCGCGGAGTGGAAAGCTAATTGTCGAAAATGCCTAAAAAATCATGAAAATTGTCGAGTCCGACCGTCATGTTTCGATTGTCCAAGAGCTAAGGAATGCAACAAAAAAATAAAAATCGTTTGGAACTATTTGAATAAGGCTGGATACGAAAAGAAAAAAATTAAAACACTCAATTTATGCAAAAATAATGGATTTATTTTTACTACACCTGATATTAATTCTACACATTTACAACCATACATACATACCAGTGTTATCAACATTTACATGTATCTATTTATAGCAAGTAAGTAATTTTTCAAATGTTTTGCGAGTGTTTGACGAACACACTGACGGCATTCAATGCCAAGCACTCAATGGCATCGATATCCGTTTAATTAAATAATAGCAATTGGAAATAATTTCTTTGTCCTGCTGTGTATACATGCAAAGAATTAATTACAATATATTGACAAGCAAGTTCGAATTACACTCAGTTCAATCAATTTGCTACATACTGTGGCACATATTTAAGGCCGAACGGAGTATAATTAAAAAAAATTGCAATAAAATAAAATTAAAAAAAAAAAATTCCGATCTCTTTCTCTTCCTTGTGGGCTGTAATGTATAAGAAATAAATTTTAGCTTGATGACAATCCATGCATGAGATTAAGTCATAAAGCAAAAGTCCCATTTTTCACCATCACTTATACATATTTATGATTATTTATACATGATTAAAGTGATTTTTTATGAACATTTAATATATACTTTTCACAAGAGGATTACCACTCGTTTACATACATAGTATGTGTGTGCACATGCCTAACATTTTATGTGTTTAATGGTTGTCAATATCTACTGGAAGTAGCCCTGTTGGAAAAAGGATTGCTTCTGAATTGAAGATTTTTAATTATTTTACCTTTCTGTACATGAAATGGTACGTTAACTAGTGCTGAAAACGATCGAAATCGGTAAAATAAGCATGTAGCCCCCATAGAACCGATTTGTTCAGTTGTGAGGTTTTGGGTCGAAAATCCGTCATAAAAGCATCTAAAAGCGTGGAATTTTGTATTTTTCGAATAGATCGGTCCCAAGTCTACTACTCTAAGATGAAATTAGTGCTCCTGTTAATCTAAGCAAAGGGTTACCGATATACTGAATTTCAAGAAAATCAAACAAGAAATAAGATTTTTTCAAATAAGTCATTCTCTGGTTCACTTCCCATATAAACCATACCTTATAAACAATCGGATGAAATTTAAAGTCAATCGGTTGGTAAATTTTCGAACGAACGTAAGATTTATATATAAATATATAGAATTCTGTGTAGTTTTCCCTCTGTTGGTTTTAAAAATATATTCTTCATACAGTCTTCAGATCCACTCCCTGACCCGTTAATTAAACCAGTAAGTGGAGTTGGCAAAGTTGAGCAGTCGCCGCATCTTGGCCCATGCTATCTCACTCAGGTCTCAAAAGGTTACCACTCTGTAAGAAGCCTTATAACAAGACATCTCCTTCCTTTTGTCCTTTTTCCGTTCAATTCTGGCCATAATGTCTTCGCCACATTACACGCATTGTGACTTTTCCATCTTTAATTAGCATCCTTAGCGAATAATTGTCTTATATTCAGCATACAAGTGGAGAGGGGCATGCCCAAAGTCTTCCATGATGGCGAAAGTGAAAGGGAAATGCCCTTCCTTTCATCTTATTAACTCTCGTTGCTTAGCCACCGCGTTAAGCGATCTGCGTCAATGCTCTACGGCTTAAAATTTTACTGTTACAGACTTCAGGGCTTGTAATGTAACCTGGTTATCTGATATGATATGGATATGATTATCCGAGAGCGCCCTTGAAATGAGACATGCATAGCCACCAAATCCGCTTGGAAAACACTATAGTGGTCCGGTAAGTGAAAGGATTTATAGATACCAAGAGTAGACTCTGCCACCAATCCTGTTATCAAGCTTTGACCGGTCCGTATAAGCATGAAACTAGTCGGCGCTTGCTGGTATTATCCTGTCCCAAAGGCTTCCAGCTTGAAATCTGCCGTAAGTCGTGAATAATATGCAGTAATTCGTTTTTTTTTGGGAAGACGGAATCTTCTTCAGATGCTAGTATGCCCGTGGTTTATTACTATCCATTCGGACACTTTGTGCAGCCTTGCTACGGCGCAAACAGCACTCCAAATTTACAAGTTCTATTTTCGAACATCGTTTGCTTCTCTTGAGTGCGGAGGTCTTTTATTGCTATGAATTGTTTTGTTTTTACTAAAGAGAAATCATTAATGTTAATACAAAAAAAAATGGAAATCATCACTGCCGTTTTCCCGAATTTTGTTTCTCACTTCTTTTCCCTACAGGGAAACATGCTTAATGTAGACTAGTACATGCAGGTGTGTATGTGTATCCATATTACTGAATTTGTTTCAATAAACCAGCAAACCCTTCAGCCAAAGGGGTTAAATGTGGGGGACCACGTGTGGTCAAGTGCATTAGCACAGGCTCAATCAAGTATTAATAATTTTTTTTTGTTGTAAAAAAAGGGGTCTTGCCCAGCTTATTCATTCCTTTTTCTGCTTCATTCTGTCGATATGGACTTATGTTTTTCTTACACTATCAGTCAAACCACTCACATATTTGCATAAATATTTAATAGCCAAGAAGTAAGATCAAATATAATCTTTCGTTGGCTTAACTTTTCGTTTATCTATGAGCTCAGGTGACCTATTATATAAAATGATTGACACTCGTCCGTTGAGTTCCAGCTATTCGCTGGTCTTATGAAGGCCTCAATTTATTCGCCAATTTTCCAGCCCGATATATTTGATCATTTGACTATGGCGATGTTCAAAATAGCAGCTAAACTATGAAGACGATAAGACGAAAGATGGTTTGCTGAATAAGAGTGTTGAGCCCAATATTATAAGTCTATGACAGCTGCTGTACATTCTTATTGAATATTATCTCTTCCCCATTCAGCTCTGAAGTTTCTGTCATTCTCCAGCAATAAAGTAATCTTGTGCCTTCTTTATTTAGGAGGAACGTTAGGAGAGTTCCTTCCCAGTTCTAATGGAGCTGCTTATGTTGTCCATCCCCTTTTCACGGGTCTTTTCCAATATTTGTTGCATTGTTAGTATATACCTGGTCAATGGTGGGCTTACGAGGTCTAAAGCCTCAGTCATAAGGCCTAATCAATTTTTTGGTGATGGGCTATAGTTTTTCACGCTATACGCTCTACAGTGGTAATAGGCGTAGACTGTGGTTGCCTCTTTTTTGTGGATTAAGGTTCACATATTTGGTTATTTCATTCTACCATCTCATCAATTCTTCGTCATTCAGCTCGGCTGTGAATACATTGTTTTTCAAGCCGGAAATCGTTAGTTGAACTTTTCGGCCCTATCGTCATCGATTTATGAATTGCCATCTCCTTGTGGTCCATTTTCACTGTCACTCAGTAGGTTGAACAAGTGTTTCTTTCCAAATTAGTTTTCTCTGGGCGTCAGCCCATATATTGGATGAGTGCATAAGTTCGTGACCGATTTCAAGTGCAAACTAAATTTGAAATTTTTTGAAGAAAGCGCTTTTATTAATCAATTATGTATTCGCCATCATGTTCGGCAATCCACTCCCAACGTTCAACCAATTTACGGATGCCTGATTCATAGAAATCGCGCGGTTTCTCGTTGGAAAAGGTGTCAAGGTGGTTTTTGACGTCTACCACATTTTTAAATTTTTTTCCATTCAAATTGTTCTGCAGCGATTGAAACAAATGATAATCAGAAGGTGCAATGTCGGGTGAATATGGGGGATGCGGCATGATTTCCCAATTCATCTCCTTCAGTTTGGCCAGGGTCGGTTTTGCAACATGTGGCCTGGTGTTGTCATGATGGAAAAGAACTCCTTTGCGATTGGCCAAAATCGGACGTTTTTCATCAATTGATTTCTTCAATTCGACCAATTGCTGACAATACTTGTTGGCAGTGATCGTTTCTCCAGCTGGCAAGAGCTTAAAATAGATCATCCCTCGGATATCCCACCGAATGCACGGCAGTACCTTCATCGGATGCAATGCACCTTTCGACATCGGTTCCGCCCCTTCGTGTGCCTGTTTCCATGTTCTTTTGCGTTGAACATTGTTGTACAGGATCCATTTTTCATCACCAGTCACGAGCCGATCCGTCTTCCGTCGAAATACGTGAGTTATTCGCAACTAAAGGCCTTAGAACATCGTCATCAAGCTCAGAAGGCCGTCCACTGCGAGGTTGATCTTCGAGGTTAAAATCTCCAGAACGAAATTTCGCGAACCGTTTCTTTACTGTGCGGAGTGCTGTAGCACGGTCCAAATAAACTTCGCGAATATCTTTAGTTGCAGCGCTTACTGTTTTCCCTTTGCGGAATTCGTATAACATAATATGACGCATGTGATCTTTTTCGTTGTCCATCTTCCATGCGTCTTTTCACTAAGCAACTCAAATCAAAATGAAGTTATTTTATGCTTGATTTACAGTTCGGACTGTCACCTGTCCAACGATATATAATATGTATATATTTCTTTCACGAGCGCCACTCTCAAACGGTTCGAACGGCATCCAGCGGAATCGGGCACGAACTTATGCACTCATCCAATACAACCTCTCTGGGGCCGTGACCCTTGACCTCGGCATCTTTCTTTTTGTCTGCATACGTCTTGCTTCCCTCTGCATGTCGTTTGATAAGGATTCCTTCCGGCTGAGCCGAAATTGATATATAAATTGCTTTCTTCTTCGTTAATTAGATCCTGCGAATGAAATTGCGTATACCTAGAAATCAGTAATAAACAAAAAATAATAATAATTTTGGCCTTGAAATCCAATGCGTAATCATGCTTTCCAAATGGATTTACTACGAAAAGGTATGGTTTACTCTGAATGAATAAAAAACAAACTTTAGAAAGCTCAATACCGTCTTTCTATGTGGCACACAAGCATAAACAAAGACAACACTCGATGGGTCCTTAATAAGAGTTTTAAGGAAAAGGGCTTTGGATAAGTTTGAGGATTATTTGTGATATCACCAACATTGAAACGATATTCTCGTAGACATACTCCAGTGATTTAAGCTGGAGGAGGTAACTGCATTCATTTTGGTGTCTTCAATTGTCGCCAAATTGTAACCAAGGCGATTGAAATGAAGATCTCATTATAAAATGAAAGCTTCAACCACTATGAGAAAAACTACTACATTCATAGAATTACATACATATTTGAATTAAGAAAAATATATTTATTATACTTGTCAAGGGACGTTGAATAAAAAAAAACAACAACATGTCATTAACTAACGAGAATTTTATGCGCTTTCAAATGATGAGCAAATGCCTCTGGGTGTAGCAACAATTACAAAGAATTTCAATGCGTATTCATACCAGCTGTTCACTAAAGGCAGTGCTAGCGCACACATACACAACCATATACGAGTACGTACATACATATCTATATCTAGATGAAATGAGCCAGAAAGCTTTGATAGGCTTGTAACATGAAAAGGTTTGAAAATATGTAAATCATATAAACTTCATATTGTACAATATGTATGTATGTAATGTATGTATTTATGTATTTTGTGTGGGAAATTTTTCCATGTTTAGTTTGAAAATGGCCAAAGGTCATTATTCTATATTGGGAAATGACACATAGTATGTGGGGATTAACAAAAGTTCGGTCAGCTGGTGACTTTTAATTTGTATTTGTTAAATTTTAAAATATCAAATCTTTTGCAATTACTTATTTTGGAGACGAGAAAACGCAAGTTAGCTGAGGATAGGTCAGACGAATTTCCACCACCAACGCAAATAGAAATCCGCCATGTGATTCTCTGTGGATTTTGGCGTAATTTACAGCCAATAAAAATATTCAGTGAACGCCAAATTGCATGAGGAATGATTGCACCATCTTCAAAGACTGTTTCTAAGTGGTTCGGAACAATCCACACCGGACTTTTTCCGTAGAGAACGAGCCCCGAGTAGGTCGACCAAAATCTTCCACTGATGACGTCACTGTAGCACTGGTGAAGTCCAAAATTGGCGAAGACCCACGACTGACACAAAAACTGATTGTCAATGAATTTCAATTGGGCATTCAAGCCTGTATCGCGAATATTAATAATAATCATCAGGGATACACGAAAAAATCATCGAAAATTCCCAATTCGATGGCGATGGAACAGATGTTTTATTGCGCGAATATGAAAATGTTCGAATACCATTTGGCCGCCGAGTTGTTCAAATTCGTCGGTGAAGAAAATATGGTCGGATGATAGCCTCTCCGACGTGTGTACTCTGACCAATGTCTTGAAATCCTACGCAGAATCACTCTTGCCAGCATCTACTATTTTGAACTGAGTAGACAATTGAGAAGTAAAATCCTCTCTTAACGAACAAAGAACAAAGACTCTATAAGTCGCTCATAATTCCCATCCTTCTAAATAGTGCAGAGGCGTCGGTGAAAGTTAAAGAGGGAATGATTTTGCCTAAGATTTCTGGGCTACGATGGAACGATGTGTGGCATTTCAAGGCCTTTGTTAGTGTACTTTTTGTCTACTTGTCGGTCTGAAAAGATTTAAGAGAGATTTTCTTTAGAATATTACTTATTATGACTTTCTTCTTTAGAAAAAAATCTATAATTCCAATCCGATAAGTATTTTTTGTGATTTACGATAATTTTTCTTGAAGTCTAGCTCATAGTCCCCAACTCAAAACTCGAATACGAAATATAAGTAATTTTTTAAATGTTTTTACAAATGCTGGAAAACCAGGTTACAATCTAAATACTCTTTTATACTTTTTTCAGCTCTCACAATCAACTCATATCATGGGACGTGTAAGATCTGAACGTTTTCTAGCATCAAAACCCGATGAAGATCGTCGCAGAAGAACGATTATTATTGAAAAAAAGAATGACTCATACGGTTTCACGCTGCAGAGCTATGGCATACATTATAAGAAGGATCAGGAAGTGGAGATGATCACCTACGTCGACTATGTTGAGTATGATGGGCCGGCTTATAAGGCGGGTATGCGCGAGGGCGATGTAATACTCTCCATAAATGGCAGCGATATGGAAAAGGCTGATCATAAGACAATTGTTGACTTCATCAAAAATTGTGACACGCGCATGCGTATGGTGGTACTCTTTGAAGACTGTGTGCGAAAGGTAATTATTTTAATTTTTATTTTCAATTTCTAATATTTATGTAACATTTCATTTGTCTCTCCACACGCAGGTCGATCTGCACATGCGCTACATACAGTTGCAGAATTTACTGCACAACAAAATGAACGAACTGGAGCGTATTTGTTTGCGAGAACGTGAACTGCTCGAAGGCAAATGGAAAACACATAGTTTGCCCGCGCGTAAAAAGGCTACCACCTCACCGACAGACGCTGAAAGCGGCGTCTCGCCAACCGATGGCGATGGTCAAAATTTGCCCTACTACCGGCCAGCGCTCTCCACCGAAGATGTGCCCAGCATGGCGAGGCATCAAACTCACCCGGCAATTATACCGCCTCCAGCGCAATTTACGCTCACCTACCATTATTTGGATCCGACATATCGCTATGTAATGAAGCCATCTACTTCAAACAGCAGCGGTGAGTATTTAGCCGGCTCTGCCAGCGGTACTGAGGGCATACAGCGCAGCCCAAGCGAACATCATTTTATTTTGCGTCATACGGAATCTTTGGACACGGCCACTGGTATAGCAAGTCTTTCCCATCGCAGCGCTTTAAGTCAGCAACGAAGCGGAGCTGCAAGCTCACAAACACCACCTGTACCGCCACCACGCACGTGTGAAAAACATAAACCGCCAAATAAACAGCACTCAGTGGAGCAACGGCAATATCAGCAACAACAGCAGCAACATCAAGGGAATACCGTTGTGAGCGCACAGAAAACCCACAAATCCGCCAAACATTGTTACGGCCATTCGTGCAATCCTTGTATTGGTCACTTCCGCTGGAAGTCGGCTGAAAAGGCTGCAGCCACAGCGTCAACAGTTGGTGGCGTAGGTGCCGGTGGTATGGCTGTAGTTGGTGGGAATGGTGACAATGTAAGTTTGGATGCGTACGATTTGGCTAGTCCGTGTTGTGATGCTCATTGTGTGCCCACCCGTCGTCGTACACGTCACAAAGAGCACACGCACAAGCATAAGCATCGTGATCGTGAACGTGATTCGAAAGAACGTCAGCCGAGACCAAAGTCGCAATCGTCACACACATCACCTGGCACCACGCGTCATCACATGCATCACCATCACCATCATACAACACAGGATACGTTGCAACATCAGCAACAACCGCAACCGCAACAGCAACCGCAGCTACACCAACATCAGCAACAACAACAACCACATCATCACCACCATCACATTTCGCCACAGCAGCAGCCACAACAGACACACGGAGCCTGTGATTCCCACAATGGTAGCATGCGTTCGCGTTATTATGACTTGACTACGGGTCTGATGAGCCATTGCAGTCTACACTCGTGCACTTCTAGCGAGTTTGCACCCGCCGATTCTACTTCGTACACCACGTCGCTCAGTACAGACACCTTGTATTGGGATCCGAAGAGTGAGCATTCGGCATCACGTCAACACTCCACCAAATCACACCAATCCTACCAACAGCGTGCACAATCACATGATCAACAATCACAATCTCAACAACAACAACAACAACAACATCCACAACAACAACAACAACCACAAAATCCGACCGCACATGTGCATGGCATTTATCAGCAACGTTATCACATTACCGCCACTCAAGTGCAACCCTCACAAATTTATCCACAAGTTGCATACGTGCAAAAGCCAAAATCTTGGGATAACCTAACCCAGAAGGCAGTGGGCGCTTATGGCTTTGGTTATGGTTACCTCGACACGGTGACCGTGAAGCCGACAGTGAAGCTGCAAATCGCCCAACAACGTCACTCCATACCACGTAAAAACCCCTACGGTCGCTACTCCACCTATACGGATGTGGAGAATTATGCTCCGCCACCATCACAGTTCGTAGAAGAACTCATTACAACAACAACTACCACAAAGATTATGGCTAAATCAACGGAAGAATTAATAGCGGCGCCCATTCCGCAAACGGCTTGTGATTGTATGACCAAACAGCAGCAGCAAGCGCTCAAAGCGGCACAATATCAACTCAATCAGGCAGCGAAGGTGTCGCACCACAACAATTGCCAAATGGGTTACTATTCACACTTGCCGCGACCAACATTGGATGCGGGCACTTCGACAGTGCAGACGACGACAGCAGGCGTTTCGGGTGATGTGGCCACGGTATCGGAATTGACACGTTTGTAGGCAACGCTTGTTTAGGCCAATAAATTGGAAAAGCGAAAATTGGTCTAAATGTAAATGGAAAACGTTAAAAAGATACGAAAGAAAGGTGGTTGAGGATATCAAGGCAATGCCAACATACAAGGATATTCAATATTGTGGCTACTGAACACGTAGAGATCATTCAAACTTTCATAGTAAACCAAATAACCGTAATGGAAAGTCATTTAGAACCACGTTTAGATTGAGAAACATGTGCGGTGCTTATGAATGAATTCATTATTTATAATCTGAAACCACAAGGCACTTCCTCTGCCAATGATCCGCACCTTGGAGAAATCTCTAAGGGCGGTAATCTTACGACGATTACTGAGTTTTGCAAACTCTACACAATGATTTGATTAGCGGGTGGGGCTCATAAGGTTTCTCAGTGGTATCAGTATTGGCCCGTTTGGTGGCCTAAGTGAGCTGATGCCCGGCAATCACTTCAACCAACCAACCAACCAAGCATATATGGAGTTTGAACACCGAACTTATTAAATTTACAGGGTGGAAAGATGTTTTTCCGCAATAGTCAAATAAATAGCAGTGTGTGTTGCTATGAGAAGGGTCAAGAACTCGAACTCTGGTCTCACAAGCATTCATATTTCAAATTGCGTTCGATCCTTGGCACCCCTCCGAGTGTATGTCTGAGATCAAATAAAAAGGTTCTCACAAAATAAAATATGAAAAACTTCGTAAAGCAACAGTGGAACTATGGAATGAGGTACCCACTTTCATGGACTTGTTTAGGAATCATGAGCAGATCAAAAGGTTATGTCTGCTCTATAATGCTCCAATTTTTAACGGCACTGCATTTTTAAGCAATTGACATACTCTTGTGGAAAAATTTTTTATTTTCTAATCGGTTTCAGCGTCCATTAAATAGTATGGAACAAACTGGTAAAGGGTCTGGGCATATTGACTGAGATCTTGAAAAATATATCTATGACATAATACAGATGCAAATATGTATTACCAGAGCCTAAACTTTTGTTCGAACTTTTTTGAGCAGACGATGAGCAACAATTGCTCGAACCCTTGTTCATGGCATTTTGAGCGAGCGAAAACTTTCGGCTTTACTCTCAGAACTTTTTTCAATAATTTTAAATTTATTTATGTAAAGTTGAAAACTCATGAAAATACTAAGGAAATTTTTGGAAACCAACTTGAAAATTGAAAAAGTTGAGCAACGAACGAACAAGTGTTGCGCAAGTATCGAGTTGCTGGCACTACTCGGTATCCGGGTATCTAGAGCTCTGGTATGGACATACATATGTATATCTAGGTTCAAACCCATTTTTTACAAAACACTAGTGAGTGTTACAAATGTATATTATGTAAATGCTTTGTAACCGCTCAACGATTTCCGGCCGTGCTCTTCCGCCAATTGGTGATATGCGTCTTGATGTTTGTCCAACAAATGGAGGGATCTACAGTTTATACTAAGACGCCTCTGAACGTCTGATAGGAGCCTTTATTTCATGTCAAAAATACACTCGGCGGGGTTGATATTCACTGCCGAGAGGCGTCGGCAATTAGAAATTTTAACTTAATCTTTTATTTAAATTAATTTTCTATAACTTTTGGATGTGTGACTTATAGAATTGCATTTTTTATATAGTGGAAATAAGGATAAATTTTTAATTGAGGTTAAGGTGACACTTGGAATCAACTTTAGAACTAAAATTTTGTAAAGCCCTTATTGAAATAGGCTTTGTAGAATTAACTGTAAAAGCTATACATACATACACACTCATGCATCCATACTCGGAACATGTTAAATAACTTTACTTCTACATGATCTCATATTTATAGTAAACATAACCTTAAAAATTTTAAAAACGTATCACAAAACATACAGCCAAATATATTTATAAATATACATATATATATGTATTATAATAAGCTATAAATATAATATATACATCCAATTATATACAACGATAGCGTAACCCAAAAACAAAAACGTAACAAAACACGAGCCAAGTTTTAAGCATTTTTAAATTACAAAAAAAAAATTTTAAAAAATCCAAACAAAAAAGGGGAGTTTAGTACGCAAATAAGACTCGAAAATGTAAACAATGCAATAAGTAAGCTATAGGCGTTAATGAATAAATATGATATATGTATGTGTAAGTATGCCATACACAAACATATGTATGTTATACATATTTAATAAAGTAGAGCAGTGAGGATTTTACAAAACAACAAAATTAATGGAGTTCCAATACAATAACTGTAAAGTTCAAAAAGCCAATATAAAATGAATTTGCCATAGAAAACACGATTTCGTTCAATAAAGAAGGGAAGAACATTTTTTATAATTGTTTTATAAACAGTGTCATACATATGTATATATACTATTATATTTGTACATACATACATACATGAATACATACATATAGTTGTAATGCCATACTTAGCGTCTATAAATACCCTGAAGGAAAAAAAACCCAGCTGTTAACTAGAAAGAATCCAATTGGCTTGCATTTTATGCCTAACGGGTTCATCTTCCCCCTATTCCCTTGTAAGAAATTAGAATTTCAAATATCCGTTTATACATCAGCTTTAGACCGGTCAAATACTAGTTCATTTACACATGTTGATTTTCAACTTCGACAATAACAAATGTGTAAATGCAATAAGAAATGAGTTTGACTGCAGCGATAATCGAAGCGTAAGTCTCACGCGATACAGTGATAACCGCTAACCACTCGTCTATCGTGATCATGTAACGAGTAGCGTATTTTTACGCATTTCAAAGCATTTCAGAGCATAACACATGAGGTCTTTTGCGTGGTTCCTCGAAAAAACATTCCAACTTTGTCAAATCACAGGACCAATTGGCTGGAAATTTTTCTCATAATTTCTCCCATAATAAAACTTGCATGGCATGTGACACCATCTTATTATCCATTTGATCATAACTATCTGAATTGACAGTGACTGTCTCGTCGTTGTTGTTTTCACAAAAGTAAAGTCCAATCACACCCGCTCACCAAAGAGCGCACCAGATAACAAGTTTTTGGGATTTATGGCTCCCACTTCTTTGGAGCGACCAGTTGAAGAAGGAACTGGTTGTACTCGGTATTTCCAATTATCGTCAAACAGGTGAAACAGAAGCAATGAAAGGTGCGCTGTTGCTAACTCAGCTATAATCGCGTAAGCAGTGTCTACGCCAGTAAAGAAAAAGTCGAAGAATGTCCTCTCTTCAATTATTCACAAAGCGCCGAATACGACGAATTTGTTTATTTACTTATGCCACGAGTGAGAAATGTGCTTCGTCGCTGAAGAAAATATTGTGCGGAAAATCGCGGTCCACTTCTTACTGCTCAAGAAACCAATGTACAGCAGCCTTCAGTTGTTGTGCGAGCTGGACTTAATATGGATGTAGGAGTAAATCCAAGTACAAAGTACGCCATGATGTACTGTAAGAAAGTCCCAGTTCTTGAGAACTTCGAGGAATATACATATTCGGGTCTTCGGTTAAACTTTCAATTACAGTAGGGATATTTGAGGTGGAACGAGCAAGACGATGATGCATAGGCCATGCAATCCGATCTCTCCATTTTTTTTTTTTAATTTTACTAATTGCTTGAGTAATTTTACGATGGTGCGCCCCATAGCACAATGTTTGTAGAAGATTTTAACAATTTCAACGCGTTGTGCGGTTGTTAAGCCTGAATGCCTGAATTTTAACTAAAACAAAACATGTTTGGTTTGACAGTTAAGTTTGACAGATTCCAAAATATAGCCCTGTACTTTTGAAAACAGGATAAGCATAATCTTAAACTGGTATTTAACTAGAACCTTTTGTATACTGGTCTACCTTCTCCCTGCAGGGTAACCAAAGAAATTCCGTTAGTTTTTAATGAAGTTTTAGAATAAATGCTTATTATATATATATCACATATATATATATATATAAATATATATATATATAAATATATATATATATACATATATAAACTTACAAGAAGCAATTAATAATCGAAATGAAAAGTTTATTATAAAATATAATGAAATTAATGTCATATTTGAAATTTAAACTTTTAATTTTTTCTCAAATTGTTGTAATTTTTAATTGTACAAATAATTTAAATTTTGTAAATTTCTTTATGATTAATAATTTTATAGTTAATTGTTTATAATTTTATTTTTAAATTATTTGGTATTATAAACCTTTCTTAAAGACTGAACGGTATACCCATTGTTACATACATACATATGCTTAGATAGTTTCTTGCAAAATTTTTTTCCAAAAACAAAAATAATAATAATAAAATATAACGTATTTTTATTTATTTAAGTAATGAATGCATTGTGATATTAAACAAAAGCACATATTTAAATATAATTATAATATTTTATGACATACTCAAATTGAACTATTTTTTCATATTTGTATATGTCTATGTAAGTTTATGTCAATGTCTGCATTTTGTAGTAGAAGTTTTTGCATTTAGTTCAAAAGTAAAGACATTTTGTAAGCACAAGTAAATAGTTTAGCAATAAAATACACAATATATGTATAAGCGCATTTAACCGTTAGCAATTTTTTATAATACTCGAACCAAAGGTGTGTAATATGAAATTACAAATACATACATATGTATGTTTGTTTACATGTGTTCAACATGAAATAAAAAATAACAAATAAAATTGTGTTAAATTGTAAAATTGAAAAAGTAATAAAATTTGGACAAAAATTTATGACAACAATTTCAAAATTTTTTTTTAAAGGACTAGGACCAGCTGAATCTCTCTTTAAAAATAGAGCAAAATAGATTTTTTTCCTGTTGATTTTACTTAAGTACAATCATTTAAAAAAAAATCTTTGCAAATTTTTAAGCGAATCCGAGTTGATCCGACAATTAACAAAGACTTTCGAACACAATGACCCGATTGTCCATAATTAAAGGTTTTCGATAAAGGCGAAGACGCGAGTCGGACAGCTGAAAATATGAATGGTCCTGATGCTATAATAGTCAATCAGTCACAATTTTGGTTTCGTCGATTTCATTCCCGAAATCGCTCAGCGACAGGGAAAGTAAATTGTCGAAAATGTCGATAAAAAAATATGAATCATCGGGCGCGAGTTTCCATCTGCGAATTACTGCTGAATCGTAACGAAATTGGCCCATTTCTGCGTATTGGGACTGCTGATGATGAATTGATCACTTACAGCAACGTCAAACGATAACGGTCGTGCACGAAAGGAAGTAAGCCTGCACAAACAGTCTCCAATCCAGAATTGACAACCGTTTAAAGGAACCAATCACTCAGTAGCGCCGGGCTTTAATTGAAATTGTGTTTCATTGGACCACGCCAGACCACACACATCGATAATGACTAGCCAGAATCTCCGAAAGCTGGGTTGGGAGGTATTCTTGTTACGGCGAAAGATTTGTCTGCTGAAGAACTGGCCTCAAGAAAAAAGCTTGTGAAAATCATTTGACCCAATGTTTTCAATTGTTTTCCCAATAGAGGTATGGAGTGCTATGAGGGACACAATCTAAAATGCAAAGAGTCCGAGCAAAACGGTGTATATTTGATATAAGTCGGATAATTAGAACTATGGCAAACAAAACTTATCTGTCCAATTTAATGAAAATAAAATGATTACTTTTCACTAGGGTAATAAGAACATTATGTTTTTGAATAGAATAATGGAAATGTCATGCATTGTTTTGAAAATCGCCGCCCGCATATTTGGCTCGCACCCTAACAGTTTGCTTTATATATTCACCATAAAATTGGTTTGAGTATGTAATAAGTTAGCAAAGACATCTATTTTCATTGAAATATTTTTTACGTTGTACCTATGGGAAGCTATAGCCACTATAGTGTTAAAATAGTTAATGATATTACACAATTTTTATCTTAAGTAAATTTTTATAGCTTCTTTTTTTTTAGTTTAAACTTACTCAATCGATATGAAAGTATTATTTCAATTAGATTGGCCACCCTGTAATCATTGCTCTTCGTCAAATTTTAAGAGTATACAGCAATGCATATATGCTCTCACTCTCAGTACCGTTGTACAAGCTTCCCAACAAGAAAGGTGAATTTAAAATTTTTGGTAAATTACAACTTGTCGTAATGGCATGATTGAAATGTTTATCAATTTATAAAGAGCAACGTAAAAAATTAGGTTATTTTACGTGTGTAATAGAATTAGGAAAGATCATCATTGACTGGAGACTGGATTTTTCGTAAATTTCGACCAAGACGATTTAATCTTTATTTAATATTATTAAAAGTGTATGTACATATATATATTGATATGCTCCCTTTTCAAAAACAATAATTTTTGTTACTCCAAATATATTTCTATTTGCGTTCTGAAATCTATTGTCACGCATTCATGACAGTCAGGTTATTACTATTAGTTGAAGAGTATTTACATATTTTTTAAGCTTTAGTAAATATTATAGAATCTTATATCACATCAATGATAGAAAACTCTAACAGCTTTCCCCATCATGTAATCCATAAATGAGAGTAATTTTTCTCGCAAGATTATTCATTACAATTAAAGCAGAAATACTAGGAAATGCACAGTTACAAAAAAATTATCGCCCACACAACAAATTTCGAAATCATCCTCAACATGTGCTCACTGCGCTCTTAAAAGTGTGTACTCACAACGCCTGCGCACAGTTCGCCTGTAGATTGTTGTGGTGTGTGCGATGTGTAAAAAATCAATAAACCACCCTTCGTTAAAAATGTAAATCCGAAAAGTTTCATTATCGAAACAATACGTAGACGTAAGTGAGCACAATTTTAAATAGGAAAAAATCATAAATTAATCGCTAGTAAACTAGTTTTAAATTAATGAAAACTAAATAATCATTTAGTGTACACGTGTAGTCATCGAAAGCGATAGAAATTTCATTCAAAATAACGATGAAAAGTTGATAAATTGTCGATGGAAAAAAATTTCACATGTCAAGTCGGTAGTCATAGTTAGTAGTGAGCTATCCACACAGAAAAAAAAGAAGAAAAAAAAAATAGAAAATAAAGGAAAAGCAGAAAAGCGAATACCGAACGAAAGAACACCGCAGAACCGGCAAATCCGCACATACGAACATATGTCAGAATTTCGACAGCAGTACAAGCAAAGGCAGCGACACAAAAGGCACACATTTCTAGTCCGAGTCCGAGTCCGAGTTCGAGGACGTATACGACTGTCGGGCGCAGCAAAGTGGAACTGGACGATGGGCGAAATTGTGTAAAGTGCTAATAGCATCAGTACCAGCAGCAGTGAGTGGTGAGGAGTTGCAGTAAATCGACCAACTGTAAGCGCCATTCAAAGGATATTCACGAATTCGCGAACTTTTACCGTTGTGGAAAAGTTTAAACAAATTATGAAAATGCATACGATTATCCAGTGATTTAGGTTTCTTAAATTATCATGAAAATCAAAGAAAATAAGAATAATGAATTCTGCGTTTGTGAACGAAGACGTTAACCGAAAGTGAAGTACAAGTGTGGGCCAAGGAATTTTTCTTTTCCACCAGCGCGAGTGAAAACGTGTGGGTGTACAGATATCAAATGTAACATATGCACACATACAGTTATATGAATGTGTGACGTATGTGTGATCAGTGACCAGTGCAAAAAAAATATATAATATAAGTTATATGTGTGTGTGTGCATAACGCCTAAAAGCATACTGCAAATATTGTAATGCGTGCATGTGTAGGTGAGACTAAGACTGTCTGTCATTCGCACAGTAAAAGGAAGAAAGGACTTTAAACAAAGCAGGGCAGTGGCTTACAAGCGCGGCAAATTGCGAAATTGCGAAGTCACGTTAAGTCAAAGCAGCAAAGAGCCAAAAATAGCAGCATAAAAATATATAAAAAAAAACCAACGACTGCGAAGTGTGTGCAAAGAAAAAAAGTAAGAAAGCAACAAACAACTAAAACAACATTCATCAGCTAGTCAGTGAAGTCAGGCTGAGTTAGCGGACACCGTGGTAGTCAATGTAGCGGGTGTCCCGCACTGCTGTTTTGGCAGTAGCAGCGAATTCGTGTACGCAGCCATACAAAGCACGGCGGACGCGCGACGAGGTAGCAAGGATAATGGCAAAGAGCAAAAGCACGAGCACACAATGAGCTGCGGTTTCACAAAAAGGTACAAATGTCTGTTTGTGTTGTGATGTTTCCTTCCTTATTTATTTCCTTTTTTTTGGCGTGTACGTTTGAGCGTTTGAGCGTGTGTGTGAGTGCGTACTTGTGCTCGCATTTGTGTGCGTGCACGCGCAGGACTTGTAGGCGCCAAGCGCGCACACTGACTGTGTGCAATTGTGGGCTGGTGCAGTGGTCAAATTATGTGGTTGTGGTCATAAGTTGTAGCGCCAAAAAGAGATTAATGATATTTACTTTTTCACAAGTGCGTTGGCAGTTCTTTAATTAAATCACATATGTACATATGCCACTATGTGTGTGTGTGTAGTGTGTGCAATTATTACTGTAAAAATGCCTAAGAGTGAATGTGTCCATTTGAAAAAAAAAGATCAATATTTCGGATATTTTATACAATAATTTCATGTATACATATGTATATATGCGAATGATATATGCATAGATATATATATACATACATATATGCAACATATGCATGCTGAATATATGTACATTTTTCTTCCCGTTTCGTTGAATGAAAGCACTGAAAATCAGCTCGTATTGCAATGGCATACGTATGTATGTATATACGTACATACATAAATTCATTGTATTTCCACTACAATGAATTCACGAGCCCCGAATTGTAATCGCAGTCAATGCCGTTGTGTCGTTGTGTCGGTCCACTAGGAGTACACACAATGTACATATATATGTATTGTGTCTAAATGTAGATGCGGAAGTAAAGTTTCGAGTTCTGGCATAGTAAATTCCCTCTCTTGCCAACCGAGCGTTGTGTGTGTGTTGTAGCAGAGTAGTAGGCTGTTGCCAAAAATAAATATTTAATGAGAAAGAAAATTTTAAATAAATTAGGTTAGGTCGATAATGATGCTTGGCATGCTTGTCCACTTGTGTAAAGTGATGTCACGTTAAATAACGGTGTAACAAAGAGAAAGTGAAAAAATAAAATTAAGGAAATATTAAAAGATTAATGGATAATAAAATTTAAATTAAATACAACCAGTGGCATGAATGAGGAACAACAGAAACACCAACAACTTAAAAAAGCCAATGATTTGATTTAAAGCCTTGTGCAATATGTCATGGAAAGCTATACATATGTAGAGAAAAAACCTTTATTTGTCGAAAAATTTCAAAAAAAAAGTTAGAAATATACAAAAAAAAAAGAATATACTTAAAAAAGAAAGCTATTTCTGGCCATGCCGAAGTTTCCGAACCTTTCATGACCATATAAAATGTATGATATTTCCTACCAAGATTAAATATTAGTTCTCAATATCTGAACAAATTGTTTGTAAAAAATAATTTCGATCTCAATCCGCGTTACTTTTTGGGGGATTGACAAATTGTGTGAGCTTCAGCGTGAACAAATTTTTTTTCGAGTCGAATGTGCATTGAATTTACGCTGGCCCCACTAATGACGATTTTGTAATATCAATTTGCGGCACAATAAATGATTTTGGATGACTATCGTTTAAATTCACCATATCATCATTAAACACCGGTCCTTCTAGGAGCCTGATCGCCAAAAATTTAGTTAAGTTCATCGACGTTCTGTTTCTGTTGATGCGATTTAATTCCTGTTTTTGGCTGAGATGTGTATTTTAAGATACCGCAAACAACTCAAATAGCGTTCGTTCGTCAAAAGCTCTGTTCGGTCAGAAATCTCACTAAGAATTAGCTTGTAATGGAACAATTTTTACTGGATTTCTGCCTCACCGAACATGAGTCCGTAAGAATCAGTAACAATTGTTACTGCCCATCAGGTCAACGAACAGAACTTATGTGTCGCATCAAAATTGTGAAACGTTAAGACAAAGTTGGCAGTTGCCAGATTGCAGCTTTAAGGTTGGAAAATCTGGAAATATAATAGGCTACCCTCGTAGCAAGTTTGATTGCAATATTTCGAAAATCGAGGGACGAGTGTGGGTACAAACAGACAGCAGACGGACATGCTGCTATATACGGGGAATATGGTGCTGGACGTATTTTTTTCGATCCCAGAGATCATTACTTGTCATCTCAGCAGTGTGGGATGGCGCGTTGTCATGATGTGAAAGGTGGCACAGGAAATCGTTTCTCTTCCTGTTTACCAAAAAATGTTTGAAAACTTTTGGTTAGCACTCTTCGGTGTATGATTTTGCAGTTACCGTTGGATTCTTTTCTAGTGGGAAAGCAGCTACGATTTTAGATCGGGTAAAGAAAACTGACATCATTACTTTTGCTGATGATTTTTTTTGCTTAGATTTTACGGGTGGGTTTACTCTACTTGAACTTAATACCATGGACTGCTGCTTGGTTTCTGGATCGTACTTATAGAACGAAGATGAGTCACCCGTTACAAAAGTTGCTAGACAGACCAGTTTTAAATTTGTTTAGGAAAAATTGAGCAAAATGCCTAATGTCTCTCTTTGAGCCTCATTTAAAACTCGTTGCACACATCGAACAGATTTCTTCGTGTATCCGGATGATTGCTTAAATGTAAGACTAATTCTTATTTATATCGGACTTCTATTCTAATGATCATCAGCGCCTAGAAGTATGCCGCAAAATTCTTATCTTTGCTGTTGTTCAAACTGCTACAACAGCAAATTGTCGCGAGATTGTATAGAAAAACAAACTTTGTTTTAAATCTTTTAATAAAATACTGAGAATACATTTAGTCTCAGTGTGTCTCTTTCAAAGTAGAAGATCGTTAGAATTAGAGCATAAAATGAGCAGATGCTGACAAAGACACATAATAAAACATAACATTTTTCTTATTCAAAAAAAAAATTGAACTTTGGCAGCTCATGGAAGACTACTTAGCTAATTGGTTTATATAAAATAATTATATATGGAAAAGATTATTGTTTATTATTACACGTATAAAATTCTAATTCAATTTAAACAACTTATAAATAAAAATTTCCTATTGACTTACATTAATATTTTTTTTTTAATTAACTGAAAGTACTTAAAAACAATTGAAAAAAATAGTAATTGTAAAATATGTGAAATAACATATAATAAAATATTTATAAAATTCAATTATTAAAGCACTTTTCGAAATTTACACAAATGCATACTCATGCAAATGACTACTCACTACGATCGCTTATACATTTTATATATTATATATGTATGTACGTAAACCTTTTATGCCCTCTTCATCATCTACAGCAAACAAACCAACTAACAAAAAAAGACCGCCTTGGCACCCTAAAAGTAGGCCACTGCATTTGTATTTCCGCATACATAATTTTAGGCGCACACACATAAGTATGAGAATGCCTTCAGATATAAATAAGATAGTATGTGCGCCACATGTGTGTGTGTGCATGTTCGCTTGGAAGTGTAAAAGCTTATTTACTCATTATTTATGCTTGCATTTTCGTCTACGTACATATTTGGCAATCATCATTGTAAATGAAAAATTACAAAAAGAAAAATAAACAAAAAAAATTTAAATACACACAAATAGATGTACGCGTATGTATGTATGCGCAGTTTTAAATTTGGAGTAAAATTTTAATTCATTCGCAGTAAGTCAATTTTTAATTTGCCTGAGTAATATTCCGATGGAATAATAACCCACCTCCTAACCTAACCTCCAGAAAACACAAAAGCGTTTGGAGTGACGATTTCTACAGCTAATTTTAATCAAATGTGTATTTTACATATTGTACATATACATGTATTTAATAACTGTCAATAAAAGTTTAAACCGTTAGCTAAAGGTTCAACAAAGGAATCTACATATATGTAGTTATTAAATTCTCCTTTAACGACGATTGAAGACATTGTTGGGCATTTAAAACCAATTATATGTTCAAAGTATTATTTAATTGTACAAACAGGCGTTGCAACAACAACTACAATAGACGAAAAAGTGCGAAACCCCTCATTTGTGTTAGCTGAATTGCGTGACTTGATTTCTTTTATTGATTCCAAAGCTATTATTAAACCAAAGAATCGCCACAATGTTGAAGACTTAAACCGCGCATGGGTTTCTGTTTGTGTTTGTGTGTGTAGAAAGTGTTAAATAGTTTTTCATTATTTAGTAATTAAGAAAATCGTTTTCATGGAAAAATAATGCAATTAAGTTCATTTTTCTAGAAGGTTACACGTATGTATATACAGTGAAAGCTTTGAAACAACAGTATTATTTA